GGGGGGGGTGCGATGTATGGACGGGAATTTTTTTTTTTTTTTCTGCACGATTGGGAGCTTGGAAGCGGGGGTTCGCTATACTCGAGTAAATACGTTGAATGCATGATTGGAGGTCATGCACGTTATACATTGCACTCATTAGCAAGTTTTATTTTTCCGTAGAACCTACTTGTTGGTATCGTTCTCGGTCGTTACTAATCCAGTGGCAGGAATTCTCTGGGAGCACCGTTCCGTTTAATTCCGTTTCAGGGCTGTTCGCGTGAGTGAAATTTGAGCCCAGTTCGTTTAGGGTCGAAGGTTGGGAACCTTTAGTTGATGGTCCTTTAAGGGTGCATAGATTCCTTTGGGTCGAGAGAGGTCATTAGATTAAAGGGCTCTTTTGTTTCCCTGAAATGAGGGTTCAGGGCTTAAGCTGTAGCTTGCCGTCGTTTGCACACGATTTGAATACGATTTGCTGGCGTTCTTCCGGATCCTTTATGCTTGCTTCCTGCTTGGCATAATGTGGCTTTCATTGTTGATCACTTTTATGATGGAAAGTGTTTCCATTCAATTTAAATCCGATTCTGTGCAGCTGGGCATTATTCATGGTTGTTATGATTCGCTGTAATGTCTGGCAAGGTCTGCATTAATTATGTAGGAGACTGTGCATTTCGACGTCATTCGTTGCGAAGGTATTCTAGCCGCAGGCCGAGATGAAGGATTTGTGGATGGATCGGGGCTTGTAGGCTGATTTCTTGCGGGCATACGGAAGGCTCGGTCTGAATGGAGGGGATGAAAATTCGGAACTTTGATTGAATAATTTCAGTGGGGAAAAATGCAGGCTTTCTGCCCGTGCAGAAGAGGAATTTTACTTCGAAAAGGTCATGGTTGCATGGTTTTTTTTTTTTTTTTCCTGAACTGGGTTTTGTCGTGTTGGGTCGTCTGGGAATGAAGGGGTTCAATGCTCCGTTAAGAGCTGGGAGGTGTGTAGCGTAGTTTTAGCGAGTTTTTGGGTGATTGGATATGGCGGGGGAGGAAATTTTCAGCCTCGTCTGTTTGATTGCTGTGTCCTTCCTAATTGAGACTTGTAATTTGGAGGATCATTAGCATCAACCAGTGATTAACAAGGGATTCTACAGGGTGGGTGAAAAAAATGTTCACTCTTTTCGCTTGATTGCTGTTAGTACTAATTGAGAGATGCTCATGCAACTTGGAAGATGAATAATGCTGCGCTTTCTTGATGGAATGCGCTTTGTTTCAAGGAAGTATGAGGTTTTTTTTGCGCTGGAATTTCTTCGTTGTGTGAGGTGAAACTCACGGTTGCGTGCGTTTTATCATGCTGGAATGCTGGGATGGGCATCTGTAGTTTATTTTTATGAGAGAGTTCCTTGTAATTATCGTTCTGGGTTCAGTGGACCCTGATTTGTATTCCTAATTGCATGAATGTGTCTTAATTAGTACTGATGTAGGGAGGAAATAAAAAGAGATTGTACTTTTTTTCTGGCTCACCCTGTGGAATGTATTGGAAGTCCTGTTAGTTGGTGGGTGGTGGTGGTATTCAGGAGTATCTAATAACCTTAATAATAATAATAATAATAGACCTTCTCAGCCTTCTTGGAGAATGCTTGACATTTATTCAATTTAGTGCATAGACTAAGGTTTTTTTTTTTTCAATCCTATGCATTATGCTTTAGTTTTACACTACGATGTCGCTTCCAAGAGTGTCTTTGTCATCACATTGTGAGCTTTTGGGGCACTCGAGGGTGAGTGCAGGTTTGGATTTTGGAACTAATCAGTATATATTCATAAATTTCTATCTCTTTTGGAAGAGAATTTCAAATCTGGGCTTGAGAAGATTGTAAAATTGCCGAGAAAACTCGTTTCCTCAGAGCTTTGCCATACGGGGGGCTATCTCTTCTTTTCCTTTCCAGACTATGGTGTTCCTGCGGGATGGAATCTGGCAAGCAACCGCCACGATAGGCGATGGCTCGCCGCCATTCGTTTTGTACTTTTGTGGGATTTGCACCTACAAGACGAGGCGCAAAGGGAACGCCTTATTTCAGCATGCCTTGGTTCATTTCGGACGCGAGCGCTTCCAATGTGTTACGTGTGGGAGGAAGTTCAAATGGAAGCGTTCCCTCACGGCACACATATTTTCCGCCCATCGCTCTTGAGTCGAAGTAAAGGCGGTCGGGTTCCTAGAAGGGGGATCTGATAGAGCGTCTGTTGGAAGAAGCCCGGAGCAATTGTCGTTTGATGGTTTCGTTTTATAGACGGTGTTTTATGTGGATCGAGGGATCTACCAGGGTTGGTGTCGAGAAAGCAATTCGCCCCTGTTCTTCTGCAGCTATTGCCCTTACAAGACGAACCGGAAGGGTTCCGCCATCTCGCAGCACTACAAGGTTCACTCTCCGCACCTGCCGTTCGAGTGTCCGTATTGTAAGCGCCGTTTCCGCTGGAAGCAGTCCTTTCGAAACCACATCGCTAACGTCCACTATGATCAGCGGCCAGCCTTTGTACAAGAATCCCGGTTTGGTGCCTGAAGGTTTTTTAATATTTTGATGGTAGCGATGGAGCGAATGGCAGCTTTGTGGTCAGGAACAGGTATTTCTTTTTGTTCGTTGCTTTATTATCTTGAAACGTTTTGCAGTGGCATTGGAATCATGAGCAGCTGTTATGTAGAACATGCATTTCTCTTGGTCTATATGCTGAGGTATTTGATAATGACCATGGTATTTGTAATATGAGGTAATGCATCTAGGGAGATGTGTTTTTGTTACTTTGCTTTGTTATCTTAGAACATCTTGTTATGGCGTTAGAATAATGAGAAACTGTTTTGTACAATGTGCTTTTCACTTGGTTTATAACCAGATGGATCTCAGCATTGCCATAAATTCTCTGAGTGCAAGAACAGAAGTGCCCTTGGAAGAAACTAAATTCAGCAGGCATGATGTACCTTCCATTTATTAATGTATGTTTTTCTATTTCTTTCTTAATGAAATGGCTTCCTTTTTGATTTATATTGGGTGTTCCACGTGTCAGGTAGGTGTAACACCTGAAAAATTATTGGTTTCTTATCCATGGCTTATGCTTCAATGACAATTTGTATTTTGATAGAAAATGGGTGAGTGTTTTTTCTGACATTTAATGGAACAAATCTCACTAATACAGAATGTACACTTATAAAGAGTCACGAACTGAATCTGAACAGGCCAAAAGAAAAACTTTGGATGGAAGTACTAGAGAGTAAATTTTATGAATTCAGAAATTCATAAGTAACCAGACTGGTCATTTTAATATGAGCCTGGTGCCATTTTTTAAGCAGATACTGCAAAATATCATGTAAGCTTCAATAGCTCATCCAAGCCGATTGCTTGAACTTAGTGATTCTTGCTTCAGGGTCCTTCAGATATTGAAGAAAACTGCCTCTTTATTATTTTATTATTTTTATTATTATTATCGGCCTATGTTTTATTACTTGCACCTTTCCATGATCATAAAATTGATGCTTCCCATTGAGAAATTATTTTTAGCTAAATGCAGTTGTTTTGTGATTTTTCCTCAATTTGCATATATCCTGTTTAAGTGAGATTTTTTCTCAATAAAATGTCAGAAAAAATGTTTCACTCTTCCACAAATATGCAAAAATGTCATCAATTTATGAACAATACAGAAAAAAAAAAAGTTTTCAAAGTTTTAACTCCTTGTATCTTTATGGCTTTGCCCTTTGCGTTCCAAGGGGTTCATCGCTCGGCTCTGGGAATTGCCTTTGGTAAACCTTCCCTATGAACAGATCTCCAAGCATTGATTTGCAATGCCTGCCCCAATGGCTGTAATGGAGTTCTATCCTATGTAGTCCTTGTCAAAGTTCACCATAAGGAATCAGGAGTATCAGTTTATTAGTAAAATTTATTTTATCCAAGAAAAATTGCTTATGATTTTGGGGTGACAGATTTCCTGAGCATATGATTCCTCTGAGAATATCAGAGGGTTGTTCCATAAAAAGATAGTACTTGGGTGTAATGTTAGATTATTTTTCCCTGTACTAACATTTTCTGCAATATTTCCTCATGCTTTCTGCATGAGAATCATATTGGGAAGAGTACCTGACAGGTATCATGTAGATTCTTTGCCATGAAAGGGATTTGAAAGAGGAAATCATGATTTTATGATGCATATGATTATCATGGGAAAATCTGAAGGTTTTCAAGTCAGAAAATCTTTGCATGTTGCTAATAAATAGGAAAAATAAGGGGGTTGAACTGGGAAGCAGTTTTTTCCACTTTGCACACATGCAATTGTAAATGAAACCGATTTTTGTGCTTTCACCTTTTGAAAACAAACTGTGTGAAGCATTTCAAGTGGTGACCATTTAAACCATTTACAATTACAGAAGATGCCTTCTTTGGTGTCCAGTTTAGAAAATGGGTTGAAGATTTTCAGGAAGCTGTTGCATACAATGTGGGTTACACATGGTTTGTCTTTGCAGTGGCTTGGCAATCGAAATTGTTCATGGCATGAAAAAGACTAAGGGCTGAATGCTGAAACCTCATTTAGAGAAGATAGAGGGGCTTTTATGTTAAGGGACTCTTTTCTCCCATAGGAGTGCATGAATTCTTAAAGGATCATGATGAAAGTTTTCAGCTTTTTGTCCTTAGAGAAAGAGAGAAGGAACTGGAAAATCTTGAACTCCTACATTGAATAGTTTTCCCAATGAAGTTGGTAACTATTTCATCGCTCTCCCTCTCTGTATGAATATTCATGAGTCCATCCAGGAATGAATCTCAAAAGCTAGATTTAATGTGAATACTGCAAAAAAATTGGCTTTACTGGAATGCTTCACCTGACAAGAATAATCAGCCAGAATGTGTATTGAGATAATAAGTTCTTTCAGAACAATTATTTCAAAAGGTAGATGGAGACATGAGGGACAATGAACCCTCCTTTCATTTTTATCTACTATTTTATTTAAATCCATGTAACCTCTCAAAGTCTCAAAATGGGGAGCATTTTTATGTTTAATTAATTTTTAGAGCGATATCATATTTGTGTTTCATTGGTAAATGTCATTTGGGATGAAACCTCGATTTTTCACGGGAAGCCATATTTGGGGTGCGATGTCTCGGATGATTTATAGGCACTTTTCCATCTTCCTGTTTGACTGCTGAAAATCACCTCTGAAATTCTCCCTCATTCTAGGATTCCTGTCTAGTCAGCATTATGTCACATAAATACAAACTGAAGTGGAACTGCCACCACACAGAGACATTTCAAGCCTTTGATCAGCTGAGAATCAGGGAGATGTTTGTGGATGTGACCCTATCATGTGAGGACCAGTTTCTCAGGGCCCACAAGCTGGTGCTCTCAGCCGGCAGTAAGTATCTGGAGCGAATCTTGCAGCGGGATGGGACGAGCTGCCCCACCGTCCACTTCTATGGAGTCGAGATGTTCATTCTGAAGTTGTTGGTGGAGTTCATGTACAACGGGGAAGTGGAAGTTCCCTCTGTACATTTAGAAAAATTCATCGAATTAGCAGAGAACTTGGAGGTGAGGGGCCTTAGAGGCAAAGAACAATCCAAGGATTCTGTCAAGACTCCTGATGCAACCGATTATGGAAGTTCTGCTTCCTGGAAACGAAGGAGCATTTCCCATTCAGTTGAAGACTCTCCTTACCCCATCAAACAGCCAAAGCAGGCATATGATATGCATTGTTCAGCACCAAGTGCTGTGTCAATACAGGTGATTACATCCCCCTATTGTTTTGTTTGTTTCCTCTTGAAGCATGTATGCCTATATCCACAAATGCTTTCCAGCCCGAAACGGTACGTCATGCCTCGAGTCGGTCTCGTCTCTCGTCGCTCGAGCTCGACTCGAGTACCAACAATGACTGTGACGAAGTGGTCGCGATGAAGGAGGAATCGACCGAGGGAGCACTGGTTGGTACGGTAACAGAGGTGAGTGTTTGATATTTATTTTTATGAGTCCTGGAGCAACTGAAGCTACAAGTGTTGTCTATACAAGCTTATTCTGAATATGCATAAATGCTGCTTAATCTTCATTTTTCTGCTTTTCTATTAAGAATCCTAGTGATATTGAAAGATATTGGCTACCAGACCAGACAGTTTCAGGGATCAAGAGGCAATGTGAGCAGCTTGTGCTATTGATTGACCTTTCCTTGATTGGTCATGTGTGTAATTTTGAGTTTGACTTTGATTTTGAACCAATTACGAATTATCCTAGGAGAAGGAAGAATCCTCGTATCTGGACATCCAATTGAGTATTAAACTTGGAATTATTCTTGATTTCCCTTGTAAATCGCATTGGTTGTAGCTCGCCCTCCAGCCAGTATGATCTTCTTGGAGGGAAATTGGATTTGAGACACCCCTATATGAAGTTTTGCTCATGCTTTATTGCAGGTGGTTATATCAGTGGTTAGCAACTGGTAGAGATAAGAAGAAAAGATTCCTCTTTGGTTCAACTTGATCTAATGCTGGTGAGCAGTTTGAACTGGAAAGGAGAGGGGTGAAAGCCCTCAGATTTTTATATTTATCACTGAATTCCTCTATAGAATTTGCCTTTGTATGTAAAAATACAGTAGATGCTTGGATCTTGGAGAAAATTTGCATATATCATTTGCACCAACTGCTTTAAAAAAAAGCAAGTTTTTCTCAAAGTTGAAAGTATATTGTTGTTGGGTGTTTCGCATGTTCAACGCATGGAAAATTTTTTCAAATTGATGAATCGCGTCAATGTAGTAAAAGTATTGCATTGTGGTAATGTGTTATTGTAATCAGATTATTTTGAAGTTATGTTAATTGAATTACTTTAAATTTAATCCATTATAATATTACTTTTTACTCGTAACCTCGAAATGAGATTACCTTCCATTACTTTTCTCTATTATTCTGTTCCTTCTCATTCAGTACATATGCAGTACTTGCAGGTCCGCCCAGAGGTTTCCAGAGACCTCTTGGAGGCCCTTTGAGGCCCCTCGATACGCAAGGCAGATTGTCCTCGATGGCCCCCCCCCCCTCCCCCCCCGGGTAGGCCTGAACACTGGAGTGACTGGGCGCGTTCAGTTGTGAGCCGGGTCATGACTCGAGGTTCATGATTCTCAGTAGGTGCGGTGCTTTTCAAAAACTATTATGCCCAGGATTATGACATCGACTAGAGGTGTCTCCATGGAGTAAAGTTGATTTTGAAGCCTCAATGCAAGCGTTGTACTGGGCGCATTTAGTTGCGACCCGAGCTATAACGCGAGTCACGGCACGAAACACTGAATGCATCGGGGTGATGACGCGGGAACCTGACCCGAGTTTTGTGCTATGACCCGATCTCTGAGATCGTGTCATTATCGTCGGGTCATCACTCCAAACATGGCGACATCCATGGTAGGTCTCCAGCGGCGAGTCCTCGTACGTACCCAGATTCGGGGAAACATGCCAATGAAGTTGTGAAAGATGCAAAAGGATGTCCCGACGACTGTTTCTTTCCTTGACCTAGCACATACGAATTGCAATATCCCGAAATTGCTTTTGAGAAGTGCATAGGCCTTCTCAAATTTGCTTCGAGAAGATTCCAATTTGGTGTCGAAAATTTTTTTTTTGCTGGTTGAGGTGACGACTATAGCAAGAGGGTGTGTCCGAACTCTGGCATTATGAATATCCCGGAGTGGTAATTTTATCGCACAGAGCAATTTCACATCGCACAATTTTCCCATTTCAACTACCTCTGCTATTGCTACAACTCAGAAAAGCAGTTAAACTTAACTTAAGAACCTCTGCGCCGCCATACCGGTTAAATGACCCAATGCGTTCAGAAGGTCGAGTCAGATGTCAGAGAGGGCTATGCTCCAAGTCATGACTCGCTCAGTTAGATCGAGTCACGACTGAATGCGCCCACTGTGACCCTCGAGTCATGACTCGGGTCACAACTGAATGTGCCCACTATCTCACGCCCATTTCATCGAGTTTTTGGATTTCTATAACCGAGTGGCGGCGAGTGGACGAAAAATGTGGGGTCTGAGCTGTGGTTAGGGCCAGGCGGATTGCCATACGTGTAATTGTTGCAAAATCAATCATTTTTCTTTAAAGGGCCCATTGAATGGTTTCTTTTTCAGTTATGATTAAGATCCTTAATATTTAAACTCAAACTTTATGAGGAGAAATGTGTAAATTTTTAAAATTAATCTATTGCTTTTTGCATAATGCATTGCGGAATTGAAAGAAACGGGAAAAGGCCAATGGAGACCATCTAGGAAACTGGTATAATAAATCCTTTTCGTGTTTTCACCTTTTTCCGCTTTTGCCAAATCTTTTTTTTTTTTCCCCGAAGAGATCCTGAGATCTCTTAGGAGATCGCGGCGCCCGTACCCGGCCCGATACCCGGCCAGACAGGCACTGAGAACCGATCGGAAATTGCGTGATTTCCCTATCGTGGCTGCTGGCAGTCGTGAAGGAGGAAGATAAGCTTTTCTCGGTCCTCCCTTTCACTCGTTCGTCGAGGGGAAGGATCGAGGGGAACGGCGAGCTGGCGACTGGCAACCGGCAACTGGCAACTGGCAACTGGCAAACTGGCAACCGTCAACTGACCGTCTGCCGTTTTCCGTTGAGTTCTGTGGTTTTTAATGAGGCGATTTCGATGGGATTTTAGTCGATCGCGAAATCATCGGGTGAGGATGAGGTCGGCTTCATTCGGAGTGGTCGGAGTCGAGTGAATCGTGTTGAATTCGATTCGAACGTTGTAAAATGGAAGTCGATGCAGCCGGTTTCGAGCAAAAGCCATCGCTTTGCGATCGGCGGCTTCGCTATGACGTGGCACGTTTTGATTGGTCCTCCAACGTGCAGCAGCGGGTGAAGCGTTGGACCCGCGCGGCACCCGCTCCGATTTCCGCCGGACGCGGTCCGAGAGGGAGGGCGTTCCTCGCGAGGCGTGAGTGATTGCACGAGAGGGGAATGGGGATGTAGTGTTGATTTCGGAAAATGCCCTGCTCGAAGCGCCACTCGTTTGTTGGGTAAAGAAGGCGAGGAGAGACCGTGCTATATGCGAGGTTTTTTGCTGATTTCGTGAGAGACGCAAGCGTGCGATTTTTTTGTACGCGTTGGCAAAAAGTTGCACCATGTGTGCAAGAGCGATTGCGAGAATTAAGCATTGCATTCCCATCTTGTTCATTTTTTCAGGAAAAGTACCTTTTGAAATGCAAATCCATGTAAATATCCAAGTGATTTTGTGATATTGTCTGCAGCTTTCCCACTATTGGGCCGCTAATACTGTGATGTGAAGAATATGCAAACCTGGGAGAACAATTATCCATCATCAGAGCAAAAGTTATTTTTTGGCTTCTTCTAACTGGAAGTTTTAGGTTAACCTAGTGTGCATTGTATCATGGGGGAACAGGCTTGCATAAACTTGATGTGGTAAAAGGTAAATTTATATTCATTGGAAGACTTACCACCCAGGAATAACATAGCGTTTCACAGGTTTTCCACAGGAAATAATATTGCATTTAAGATGGTTGGAAAGACATGGAACCATGCAGCAATCTTTTGACTTGATGCTATCAACAGTTCAGACCCAGGTTCCTATGCTGTGTCATCCCAGTCCATGTATTACTTTATTTCGATTCCTACATTTCCATATATTTCCCTGTAGTTCTCTATGTTTCAACTGCTTTTCTGAATGCTATAATTTTTCAAAATGACCCAACCCTCTGTTACTCCATTGGTATTACCCTTTCTCAGTCAGAAGAATATTGGGAAGAGGAGGTGATTGGGTGTCACAGTTTAGCTGAAGGAGATCCTGAAGAGGCTCCTCAGAACATTCCACCTGACATTGATCCCAAGGTGAGTTTTATTCTGTGCTGTGCTTTTCCCCGATACCAAACTCTCACGGCATGTTCGGTCTTGAAGGTCACTTTTTGCAGTTTCTCTTTTGAGTTCATTGTTAGTGTCATTTTGCCTTTTAATTTTTTTGTTCATTACAAGTGATCCTTGACCTCTTTTCTTTCTTCCCAATGATGATTGGTTGTAGAAGAAACTGGTATCTTGATGTTAATATTTACCAATGTAAGTCTGGGAATGGATGTTTCCTTTCATGTTTTTTGTTGAAAGTTAGCTACCTCAATTCCTTCTTGGCTTCAAGTACCTGATCACTTATTCTACCCTTAGTTCATGCCCTGGGGATGCTGCTATACTTAACCAAGCTGCTTTCTATCTTTTTTCCCCTTAAAAAATATTGCATTAAGGTTAAGCCTGCACTACAGCTTTGGAGAATTTTAAAGAATTTGTCCTGTAACATTCATATCCAAGGTGTATCTGCTTTTCCTGCTTAATATTTGCACTGATGCCATTTCCCTTGAGAAAGGTTGATAACATTCTTCTGTCCTTTCATTTCTGGGCTTCCCTTTTCCATCAGAAGCAGTGAAATCTCCCTTTTTATGTCTGCCTGGCAATCTATGCTGCTCCTGACAGAACACAGAAAAAGACCTAATCTGCAATTTAGGAGACTTTTATTCACTTCATGCAGGAATTTTCCCTGAGGTTTTCTCAGGGGTCTTCAGTTGAGGGTAATTCTGTTGATGGCTCTGTTGTCATTAAGCATTCATGATGAAGCAGAAGTACTTGAACTTCATCAAACACTGTTAACTTCTTGGATATCACAAACTTCTGCTCTTTTCCTACTCTGGCCTTAAGCTAGAATGCAGTCATTCCATCATCAGTGAAATCAAAGATTCAAAGATTTTTAAAATCTGGTTTTGGCTTGTCACAGACTCTTCTTCACAACTACACAAGTTGTGAAGCATAGTGGGGTTCTATAACATGAACATGTCCATAAATACATGTATATGAACCATGTTATAATTTTGTTTTTCTTCCTAGACGGTGACTCTATGGGAGGGTCAGATCTTCAAAGGATCAGTTGGAGATATCTCTATGTTCTTCTGTGGGATATGTGGCTACAAAACAATACATAGAACAAATATACTTCGTCATTTTCGGTTGCATACAGGAGAGAGGCCTTTCACATGCGGGGTTTGTAACAAATCCTTCACCCAGAAGGTGTCCTTGATGAGCCATGCTATCAGGATACATGACTCAAGTGGTATGTAGAAGCAAAATCCAGTTTTTGTTGAGAAGTTTGTGATGATTTTCTTGGTTTATTCAGATGAATCTTCTAGTCTCTCTTTCAAAATAGCTTCATTCACTTCTGTGATATGAAACTCATTATAGGGAGAAGCCCCTGTGATCACAGTTATCTCTGTGATTGCCTTGAGAAATGTGGTCACTTGAAATGTCTCATTGGTCATGGATTCCACTCATGACCGATGAAGCTTTAGGCTATAGCTTACAGTAAGTGCTTCTCAAAGAAGTTGTAGTGTTCTGAGCTTTAATAGTTCACTTTTCTTGTAAATCCTCTTGAAATATTCATGAGGGCTCCAAGAACTAGCCTTAACACACTGATTTGTGAGGTATGCATTAAAGGAATTGAATATACTGGGGTCCTTCACTATACTTATTTACTTTTGGGCAAGTAGCATCAGTCTAGGTAGATCTGTGATTGCTACTCAATTAGTATGCAAGAATTACATTACACTCTTTGAGTTTCATCAATCATATTTTTATTGTGATGAACCCTCTGCTCAACAGGTTTGCATTTGTGGAATGACTCTGAAAGTAGTTGAAAGTGAATGTGTTTGCATTGCATGTTTACTATGATGTCTCCTGAAGCACATGTTTTGATGTAGGTGGTCTTGGGAGCCATTGTCAGCACAATATTAACCATGACAGTCATGGTTGCTATGGTACTCAGTATGGTTTCCTGCTACTGGTGATCTTGCTATGACATATACTGATATTAGCAGTTCCTTTGCATATTGGGTAAGGCTATTAACACTGTTATGGAAAAATAACACTGTTATGGCTATTAACACTGTTATGCCAACTTTTCTTGTTTCTTCAAAAAGAAACAAGAAAAGTTGGCAGGAAAAAGGTGTTCATTGTAATTGTTAATACAGAAGTGAAAGCCCAATTGGAAGTGTATCCTCTGAACAACTGCTAGCCAGCTTGTATGTTGAGCTAATTGGTTTGTGTTCTGTGCTGTTCTGTGCTGTGAGTTTGTCAAGAGATGGCAGTGTTAAATATTCCAAGGGGAGGGGAGGAACCTTGAAGGCTTGCACCATGAAATGTTTTGTTTTTTTTCTACTCAATTTCGGGGTTTATAGACTTTGGCAGTCGGGAAATTAATACATTAACCCCCTAACTGGGAAGTTTTTCACCATATACAGGGTGGGCCAAAAGAAAAGGGCCAGTTTTCAATGGTACACTATACTGCACTCATAGCATATATTTTGATGCAGTTTGCAGAATTTGAAAAAGGAATGAATGAGCTTTATGATGGTGTATTAACATTTAAAGTATCTTTTATGGTTTCAGAAATTCAGGAGCTCATATAAACACCAAGCAAAAATTATGTTGCTGTAGGATAGGATAGGGATGGACAGGCAGCGGCATTCATGACTGAAGGTCACATGCCATCTCCCTCTGAGAACACGGCAATGCAGCTTTTGTTTGCTGTTCATATGAGCTCTGGAAGTTATGAAACTGCTGAATATATTTGATAGGTAAATGCATAATTTTAAAGCCGATTCATTCCTCTTTCAAATGCTGCAAATTGGGTTTAAATATCTGCAGTGCATGAAGTGTAGTGTTTCATTGAAAACTGTCCATTTTTTTTGGCCCACCCTTTACATCTAAACCTATGGGAGGTCCGACATCAAAAGAAGTCTAACACAGTTAAGGGTTTAATGTGATCCAACAAGATTATTTGAAGCTGGAATCCCGTTGTGGAGGTATGTTTGGGGTGCTTGAACAATTGTGCCTTCATGGGAGGTTCACTGCACTCATTCTCTGTTGTGGAATGGGATTCATCTAAGTGTAGATAATACGGCTTCTCATGAGCAAATACAATAAGGAGTGAGACCTCATGGAGGTTTTTCATGGGAAGCCTTATTTGGCTTGTTGTCTGTCTCCTCAACTCATTCAGTTTTCCATCTTCCCTTTTACCTTTTTGAACTTAGTATTCTTGTTCACTGAATTTGCCTATCTTTTCAGGATTCTAACTAAGTCGGGTATACGATGTCACGTAAGTACAATTTGAAGTGGAATCGCCACCAGTCTGAGATCCTGCAAACCTTTGATCAGTTGAGGATTAGGGAGACATTTGTGGATGTGACTTTATCATGTGAGGGCCAGTTTATCAAGGCCCACAAATTGGTGCTTTCGGCCAGCAGTAAATATTTGGAGCGAATCTTGCAACGGGATGGGGCTGGCTCCATTACCATCTATTTCTATGGAGTTGAGATGTTCATTCTGAAGTTGCTGGTGGAATTCATGTACAACGGGGAAGTAGAAGTTCCCTCTGTTGATTTAGAAAAGTTCATTGAGGTGGCAGAGAACTTGGAGGTAAAGGGACTTAAAGCAGAAACCAAGGGACCTGTACAAAGTGCCTGTTCAACTGATTATGGAGGTGATGTTCCTTGCAAGCGGAAAAGAAGCATGCCCCATGCAATGGAAGACTCTCCTTATCCTGTGAAGCAGCTGAGGCAAGTTAATAACACAAATTGCCAAGCGCAAAGTGATTGTTCAGATCAGGTGATTATATTTCTTTTTCAAATCTTGCCTCAGTGTCAAAGATGAAAGCCAATTTCCATGCTAAGTGCAAATACTTTTCAGCTTGAAATGGGATCTTCTACTTCCAATCAATCCCAACTCTTACCTGATGAGCCTGGCCTAAACGTCAGCAATAATTGTGATGATGTGGTTGTGATCAAAGAAGAATCAACTGATGGATCTCCAGTGGGTACAGCTGCTGAGGTATGTGTACATTGAATCTTGATTTTTACATCATGGACTAGAGTAAGTGATTCTTGTAGGGTCAACTTAAAAATTTTTTTATTACTGGTCTTAAATTTCTCAGTGCATAAGTTTCATGATCAAAGTTCAAGTCATACACAATTGTATACCACTAGACCAAATCATACCTTCCAGAGAGAACAGCATGTAGTTTGAGCATCACATTGCCATTCACATTGCTGTATGCTCTGCTTGTCATTTCATATGAAGCCTATGATGGATTTGGTTATGAAGTCAAATCTGATGTGGAACTATTGAAGTAGGTTTTCCCATTAAAGAAAAGGGGCTTCTTGACAGGAAGCCATCACCTCTTATTAGACATCTGCTTGATCTTAAATAGCAGTAGCAGTTTCATGTGCCAGTTCCTGTTTAGAATACTGTACTTATTCTAATTACTCTAACTACTTTTTCCTCATTTAATTTTATACTTTGATTGCACTCACTTGCTCTTAATCTGTTCCAGTCAGAAGATTATTGGGAAGAGGAGCCAATTGACTATGATAGCACTGCTGGATGTGAATCTGAAGGAATTCCTCAGAACATTCCACCTGACATTGATCCCAAGGTGAGTTTATGTCCTTTCCCTCATGCTTTTGAGGATTTGTTGTAAATGACCTTTCCCTTCCCTTCCCCCTCGTTTAGTTTTTTTTTTTTTTACTTTTATCTTGCCAGTCTCTTTGTCTATGATCAGTTTAAACAAATTTATATCTCAAAGTATGAGTACTGCAATTTAGGCCAAAGCTGCAGCTTTGCCATACTTTTTCAATTGCTCTGCAGCATTTTGTCAGAGCTGTCTTTGACTAATTTGCCTCATTTTTGCATCCATGCTTGATAAGGGATAAGGGATGCCAGTATCCTGATGTCCTTTCATTTTTCATCTATTCTTGTCATTAAATTTACCCTTAAATATTAATGTATGCTAATGAGCTAACAGTCTCAATTTGAATTGGGGAACCCACATGTCAGTGCCATTGTGGAAATAGGTGATGATGTGCCTTGTCTAAATGATGATATGAAAATTGATTGTTCATGCTCACAGCTGATGATCATTGTATTGGTGTAATTCAACTATACTTAAAGTCAGCCATCGCTAGGAATTGTATTTTTTAGGATTCATAGCTCCAACTTTGAGAAGTAGTGGAGCAAAATGTTAGAATAAAAATCCAATAGATTACTAATATCTAGAGAAAGGATATTTCTGCTAAAATAAATTTTTCCCAGCTGTTTCCTTGCCTCAAAAGTGGTGAAGCATAAAAATCTGATCCCTAGTTGTAACTGTGTATCTGGTGTTGGAGATAAGTAAAAAGTCAGTGATGTCACAACACTCCTTTCCTTTCAATTATCTGTTCTGTTGGTACTTCCGCTCAACTGTTGAGTAGCTGGAGAGAAATCATAATTGATATTGCATCACATTGCAGTTTAGCTCCTTGCAACATGTTAATGATGAAGACTTTGGCATCTACTAGTGATTCTTAGAATGACCATTATAGTGTTTACATAAAATCCTGTTGAGATTACAGTGATCATCATCAAACAGTAGTATTTTGAGCAGAAAAGGCAATAAGTTGATATTGCCGTTTTAGATGCAAGTAGTGTCACAGAGAACTCTTAATTTTCATTATGGTGGACCTGAAGGCTTTCATGAATTGGCTAGTATTATATGTGAGGCTTCAGTTCTAGCTTCAGCCTTATTGAAAATAATATGGTTATGATTTTATCTAACTAGATACTGTTATTACTCTTGGGAGTACCTCAGGCTTGTTTTCCATTTGCTCTAAAAAAATTTCCTTCACGTTCACACCAAAGGTTGTGTAGTATGAAGGGATTCAAGGTCATGAAATTGCCTGAAAATACCATGGAATTTCATAATCCTTTTGGGTTTTTTTTTTCTGTAGACGGTGACTCTGTGGGATGGTCAGATCTTCAAGGGATCAACAGGGCACATCTCAATGTTCTTCTGTGGAATATGTGGCTACAAAACAGTGCATAGAACAAATATACATCGGCATTTTCGCTTGCATACTGGAGAGAGACCTTTCATATGTCCAATTTGCAACAAGGCCTTCAATGAAAAGAAAACAATGACAAAACACGCTATTAAGGCACATGGATCTGCTGCTATTTAGAGCTATCAGGTTAATGCCACTACTTTTATACCCTAGATTAAATTTATTGTTTTTAGGTTCTCCTTTGACAATGAGAATTTGAATTAGTTTGATCCACTTCTTCACTATGATATGGCAATTATTTCATGCTGACATCTCATTCACATTGAGGAAGAGATTGATTACCCACTTAGCATCCAGTCTGCTAAATGTGATCATGCCATTGAGATAGAAAATGAAAAGAATGTTCACTATTCATTCTTGGCTTTGTTCTGCCTCAGTGGGACAGTGATGTTTTGCTGTGAAGGTTAACTTTTTATGATCCTGCCTTTCTCTAATAAACAGGGGAGAGGGTGCTCTCACGAATGTGCACATATGAATGAATTATGAAACACTTTCTACAGCTATCTATCAACCATTGAATCTCTGTAATGGACTAGCTCAAATCAAAGAGAATTTTAAGTTTTTATGAAGTATGGTATAAGCCTTAGCCATTCCCATGGCTGGTCTGTGTTCCAGAAGTTTGTGCAAAAGGAATAAAATTATTTCACTGAAAACATTCAACTTGATGCATACTGTGTGTTACTACTACATGGGTAAAGAAAGTAGCACACTACTGTGGCGCTCTACATTATACCTTGGAAAGGTTTCCCTTCATGGTGATACTCTTAAGGACCATATTAGCAATTGGTTCCTTGAGAAGAGGCATGTATGAAGTTGGAATTGTGGCAGTAAATCAGTGTCCAATCAATCATCCTCTTCATGTTGTTTACTGTTGGACTTCTTTGTGTTCAAACATGAATTGCGTGACCTTCCAGGACTATCGATCCAAGCTGATCCATACAGTGTAATCATGCGTTTGTTTGGTATTGAACCTCATTAATTTCCATTCACTTGCTATTACAAGCTCTTTTATTTCTAGGCTCCCTAAAGGTCTCCTGGAGGGTTACAATCTTTCCAAATCTAATGTTTAGAAGTTGCAAGATTGCCATTAACTTCGAAGATTACATGCTATGGTGTTCACTAGCTTTCCACTCAGAGACAGACTTTATCCATTGTGGGAAAGAACAGTTGGCAGGAATAGGATGGTTTCTATATTTATTTCAATGGGAAGAAGTCATGATATGTGGCACTAGGAATGAAGTGCTTATTATCTTAGGGTCTCAGGTACTCATGTCCTATTATTGTTAGACATTCCATGGCCATAATGCTGGTGAAGTTTCTCAAAATGAGGTTGAAAGTTTCACACAAACGTGTTTTGTTTTTCTTCAACATGCCTCCAATAAGCTCAAGTATGCATACTTTGCACAACTCATTATCTCTCAGACAAGTTGCATTTAGAAGGACATATGGGCATTCTATGTAAGGCTATGCAGGATGGGAAAAGTTCTGACTGGTAGAATTGATTTTATTCCAGCTATCAGCTTTGAACCATTATCTATGCCTGTTCTTATTGGCTCTAGGGAAAAGAGAACACTTGAGTAGATGGTTGAAATATTACAAGTTGAGATGTTTTAATATTGAAGGGTTCCAGATTTTAGTCCAGCAAGTCTCCTTTCCAACTGAATACAATTTTTTAAGTTGAGAAATTAATTTTCATTTAGTTTAAGAGAAGTGCAGATGGCCAGAGTGGCACAAGGGAACATTGCAAGAATGGCAGTGTGGACACAGATATGTTGTACAAGTTCAACAATCCCTTATTTTCAGGCTTAATTTTGTTTATAGGATGATTACCGAATTTTAAGGTGGTTGAAATATGGGGGGAGAAAAACTTTGTTCACATTCTTGACCAGAGTGGTGCCAAAATATTGCTCGGAATGCAAGCAATAATTATTTGATTATTTGAGAATTCATGATATCTGGGGATTGCCAGGATTCAGGACATAACTGCTGCTTGGGGGCATATCTGGAACTCAATTTTAAATGTTGTGAGTTCATGTAAGTTCTTGTTTGTAAGATGAACTGGACAAGGTGTCATCAGCAGATTTTACAAGTAACACTTCTAATTTCAAACTGCTCATGTATTCTCTGATTGCCAGGACAGATGAACAACAATTTGGGGTAGAGATATTCCTGATGCGAGTTGAACTTTCTCAGTCTTGATACCATTCATGATCATTGATTTAAGGATCATTGATCCAGAAGGGAATGGTCACATGGTAAATGAAATGGATTATTAACACTTTCGACCCTGGTGGTTTGAGTGCTCTATGGGCATGAGACATCATATCATGGGTATAGGGCTGGAAATGCAAAACTGGTGGTTTTAGGGTTTATTTAAAAAACCATTGCAGATTATCCAATGATAGAGAACTCCTTTCTTGCTTTCCTGCATTACCCATAGCTGTTGCACCTGTAGGGCCTTGTTTATCATTTTCAGGCTTGCAGTGGGGGAGATTAGAGAAACCAAAGTTCAATAGCCAAGGTTGCTTTGCATAATAATTTCTCTGAGACCTCATGAAGCTCTTTCATGGGAAGCCTTATTTGGCTTGTTGTCTATCTACTGATCTGATTTGTAAGCATTCTTTTTCCTCCTGTTTGCACTTTGCATGATGTCCATCTGAATTCTGTTGTTAATGTCCAGGGCTCTAATCAAGTGAGGCTTAAAATGTCAAATAAGTATATATTGAAGTGGAATTGTCACCACTCTGAGACATTCCAAGCCTTTGATCAGCTAAGAAGCAAGGAGATGTTTGTGGATGTGACCCTGTCATGTGAGGACCAGTTCCTCAAGGCTCACAAGTTGGTGTTGTCAGCTGGCAGTAAGTATCTGGAGCGAATCTTGCAGCGGGATGGGACGAACTGCCCTACCATTCACTTTTATGGTGTTAAAATGTCCATCCTCAAGTCATTAGTGGAGTTCATGTACAATGGGGAAGTGGAAGTCCCCTCTGTAGATTTAGAGAAATTCATTGAGGTAGCAGAGAACTTGGAAGTGAAGGGACTGAAAGGCAATGGACAATCCAATTCCAAGGAACCAATTGATGCTGCCTTTTCAACTGATTATGGAAGTGTTGCCCCCAGCAAGCGAAGAGGTGTTCCACATTCAGTTGAAGACTCTCCTTATCCCATAAAGCAACCAAGGCAAGCTTATAATGTGAAATGCCCAGCACCAACTGCATGTCCAGTACAGGTAATTGCTTTCTCAAATTTTGCCACAGCATATGATGTATTGGTTTAATTCATGCAACTTGTGTAACTTTTCCAGCCCCAAATGGGATCTTTTGCCCCAAATCAGTCTCAGTTCACAGCTGATGAGCCTGGCGCAAGTACCAATAGTAACTGTGATGAAGTAGTTCTGATCAAAGAGGAGTCACCCATTGGATCCCCATTGAGCTGTGCTACTGCCAAGGTTAGTACATGGTAGATATTGATTACTTCGACATAGCCTGAAGGATCACTAAGGTTTGAAGCAGGATGAGAATCTTGCTATTTGTAGGAATAAGTAATTTTGCAGGACCTTTAATGGTCAATTTTTTTTAGAGCTTTTAATTTTAGAAAGAATACTAGTTATCTTGTTCTATTTGTTTTATGTTGGTCATTCCCCATATGGGTTAGCTATTAGGTTTGTCATTCACACAAGATGTCTTCTTTACATTTTAATCAAGCAAGTAATGTAACCAATGAAAGTGAAAACATGCAAAGAGACATGAATAATTTATGAGAAAGAAATAGGGATAGAAGATTGAATCCCACATCTGAACACTTTTCTAATCTGCTCTCAACTGATCAGGAGTGCTAGGACAAATAAAACTACTAGGTGTTGGAGTAGATGCCATTTTGCCATTCATACAGCTATTGTCCAGTCACAGTTTTGCCTAACAACTCCTTCAGAAAAGGAACTGTCATAATAATTCATAAAAATGCCTTTAGTTTCTCTATTGGATATACAGGGTGGGCCAAAAGAAAGGTTACACTTATAGTTCCATGTAAAAACAACAATAACAAACAATAATATTAATATATAGTGAAACAAAAATTTATTGAAATAGGAATATATTAAAATAACAAAGTTCTAAGTAAATTAAAAAAAATGTTACCATCACATTCCACATGTAAGCCTACATAAATTATTTTAATTTCTTTTACTAATGTAAGTTAAGTGTAACCTTACTTTTGACCCACCCTGTATACTTTCTCTGTTGATTCATTCAAGTGCATTACATCTTTTTTAGTCAGAAGAATATTGGGAGCAGGAGGCACTTGAGTGTCATAGTGCAGTTGGAGATGAATCTGAAGTTCCTCAGGTCATTCCTCATGACATTGACCTAAAGGTGAATGTTGTTTCATAATTTTTCTTTTGCTTGTCATCAAACATTCTTCTTCATTGCATGGAGTTCAATCAAAAGTGCCCTTTTCCTTTCTTTTACATTTATCCTGCTTATCCTTGTGTATGACCAAGTCATGATTGACTGTGAAAGAGAGGTTTCAAGCATTTGACCTTTATTTGCATATATCTATCCACAATTTTCTCTTCTGCTATTTTGATGTGGAGAAAAATCTGTCATCATCCATGAAGGAAATTCTATATATAGGGTTAATTACGTGCTAAATGCTAAGAGCATCAATGGGTGAAACAATTTGGTAGTCAACCACAGGGATGCAGAGCTGTGTATGGAGAGAGTTGCAACAATCTTTGCACTGCACAGGGCTGTTCATGGCTCCCTGTTATGCTCCACCTGTGAGCCAGGTGCATGTGGCTCTAAAATATGAGCTTGTCCTTCATCTTTTGAGGTTGAAAAAGTGGTTTTTATTTTCTATTCTACCAATATTGTCTAGTTGGTGTGCTATAAATTTGCACAACTTGTCTGAGGATGGATTTATTTTTGAGATCCAGTAGAGTGAATGGACAAGGAAGAAGGCACTCTTCCTTGCACATGTTAAGCAGCCCAGCTCATTTTGGTTTTTAATTTTCTGTACTAGTTCAGTAATTAAGATCCTCATGAGCCATATAGCCATAAGGAGGCAACTCCAGTAATCACTTTTTTCAGAATCCATAGATTTTGTTATTGAGATGGGTCAAAATATACATTTTTCAATTTTAGTTCATTTTCAGATCCTCAGTTAAGGTGAGAACCCCCAAAAGCACATACCCCAGGTGGAGAAAAGTGAAACAATCTCTCCCCTGTTAAAATGGATGCAGTGCTTTTTACCTGAGTTACCATAAGAAGATGCTGAAAAACTCTATTTCAGTATGATAGAAGTATTGCATGGCTACATGTGAGGAAAGTTTGTGGACTTAAAGACCTCATAGAGTGATGTGGGTGAGGATTTACATGGAAAATCAAAATGGTGTTAAGATTTGATCATGAGTGGTGCCTATTGTGGGGCTTGTCAAAAACCATCCCTGTATGTGACTCTGGAGAAGTAGCAGCTCTATTTGCAAAATGTTTACTTCTCCTATCTCTGTTATCAATATAGCATAAAGCTAAGGCCAAGACTTCAGCTCTAAATATAGAATTTTTCATTTGCATTGCAGTCCATGATGATATATGAGGTGCCTTTATCTAATGCTCCTCATTTGCACCTCTGCCCTATGGATGAAGGTGGTCTGAAAGGTTTCTTATGTCCTTTCATTTCTGGCCTCTCTTCTCTTCTTTGACAAGAGAAGATGCCCCCCTCTTACCTCTGTCTAGCAGCTGCTCCAAAAAGAAACTGAATTTAGTGCTTATTAAAAGTTACTGACATTGACCTTGTGTCTATGCTGACACTGATATTTTCTGTAGAAACAGTGATATAGGTCATGACTACATTGACTTATAGCAATTGTCTTTGCCACTGTGGTGACTTGTAAGTCACCACAGTGACTTTAATGCTTGTTAAAGTTGGTAATAACATTGCACTTGGCTAGTTACATTGTGTGAACAGATCCTATGATCACTGAAGAGCACAACATTAGGGAAGCCCATCAGAAGTCATGTGTTATTGCAGCATTCGGTGGATTACGTTAGAAGAATCATTGAGTATCAAAAACAATCTTCAGTGTCATGGCAAGGATGTACAATATCATGATGATAGTAGTGATCATGATCAAGCAGCAACAGTGGAGACAGGAAGCCAAGGCTCCAGTTTCCAACAGATTTTTCTCTATCTGCAAGTCTTATCTCTGAGAGCCCCATCAGTTTCACTATTGTCTTGGATGATTTTATGGCCTAGTTCAAGTTGCCATTAAGCATGAATATCAAGGCTGAAGTTCATGCATGCATTTATCACAAATTGGATAATTGTGGTTTGGATATTGAAATATATTCATTTAATTTGCTTGTGAGTGCCCTAGACTAGATTATAATTAATACATTTGGACTTTATATTCCCTTTGCAACCATACTATAGGTTATGAAGTGTGAACTAAATTCCATGATTTTGAAAATTATTTTGTGTAAAATCTTTCTATTTTGTCCTAGACGGTGACTGTGTGGGAGGGGCAAATCTTCAAGGGATCAGCTGGGCATATCTCAATGTTCTTCTGTGGAATATGTGGCTACAAAACAGTTCATAGAACAAATATTCTTCGTCATTCTCGATTGCATACTGGGGAGCGGCCTTTCATTTGCCCAGTTTGCAACAAGGCATTTAATGAAAAGAAAAAAATGACAAACCATGCTCTGAAAGCACATGGCAATGCTGCCATTCAGATTAGTTAGGTTCCTATTGCTGTTTCTAGATCCCAGTAGATTTACTGCTAATTTGATCTCCTTCCTCAGAGAGTGTTGAGAATGTCCGCTTCTCTGGTGGCGCTTTGTGAATTATTCTGCTCAGAATGAAACAATGGTCACAGAGCACTGGAGTGCTAGTGCCTTAGATTAGGCATCACAGTGGAAAGTAGCACTTCCTCTATGAATTCCCACCTGCACAGCTCATGGTCACACACATCTTGGCTCCAAAATTTGGTGACTTCCTTGACCAAGGTCTTGAGACCTGGGAGTTTCTTCAGTAATTATCAATACTCCTTGCCAGTATCATTGTATTTCAATGAAACATCATGGTTACATGGTCAATGTCACTGGATGTGTTGTGACTAGGTGACACCTGTTCTGAGTATGTGCCATTTGAGATTTTAAAGAATAAATTTCAACAAATGAGGCTCTGATGGACTTGTCTTGCTTGGGGTGTATCAACTACTAGGATGCTAGTACTGGTTGTTCTGAAAAGTACTTGCAAATCTGGAAAGTTCTTGCAGTGATGCTATGAGCCAATCTTGACAATTATGGGATGCATATACACAGCAACAAATCCTAATACTCCTGATAAAGTCTAAGGCAGGGGTGTGCAACCTTTATCAGCAGTGGCCTGCATGGAAATGTGTTACTCCTGATGCAGGCCACAGAATGCAAAAGAAAAGGCTCCCCTCTTTCGTCCTCAGGGCATGAGGGCATTAGGTTGCACTGATTGGCCAATGGTCCTTACCTCCTTGCCACCCCTAGGAAATTCCAACATCCAAAAATAGCCTTTGGCATTGAGAACCTTCTTCCTCCATAGCACTGCCCACGTGAGGAAATATTAGAAGGAAGTGAGGACTCAGTCTATTTCTTGTCACTAAGGGATGACCAAAGTTGTGATGGGCCTTTGGCCGCAAAGAAACTCATCTGTTAACCCATTATGCATTACTGGGTCGCAAGAAGCAGGTCCACGGGCCACATGCAGCCCGTGGGCCGTGGGTTGCACATCCCTGGTCTAAGGCCTGAATGCAGAAACTTCATTTAGGGTAGATAAAGAAGCCTTTAAGCTAAAGAGCTCTTTTTCTTCCATGGGAATCCATGTATTCTTAAAGGACCATTAACTAAAGGAGGTTTCAGCATTTGAACCTAATTTTTTTGTTAGTCTTGCAGCTTGGTCCACGAAGGCATCTAATTTGCTGAAGCCATCCATGGAAGAATTTCTGAAACCTGCTTTTCTTTATCTCATAGGATAAGAGAAATTTGAAGTGAATATGTTTGTGATTGAGGCTCATGGAGCTTCTCTATGAGGAGTCTTTGTGGCTCTGAACCTCTCCATTGAATTGTATTATATTCATGTCCAAAAGAGCATTCTTGCATTGAAAGTAATCTTGAGCTTTTTCCTTGACTTTCTGTCCTTAATTGTCATGCTTTTGAATAATGAATGTTAAAACTTCAAGGATGTTCTGGAAATGCTCTGATTTTTCAGGTGCTTATCTACTTGATTGCAGGCTGCACCTATGTGAAGGATGTCAAGCAAGTACAGCTTGAAGTGGAACACTCACCATGTTGATGCATTTCAAGCCTTTGATAAATTGCGGGACAGGGAAATATTTGTGGACGTCACCCTGTCGTGTGAGGGCCAGCTCCTGAAAGCCCACAAGTTGGTACTTTCAGCTGGTAGTAGCTATTTGGAGCAAATTTTGCAACAAGATGGATCCAGCAGTCCCACCATCCATTTCTATGGAGTTGAGATATTTGTCTTAAAATTACTGGTGGAATTTTTGTACGATGGGGAAGTGGAAGTTCCTTCATCCCACTTGGGGAAGTTCATCATGCTAGCAGAGAACCTGGAGGTGAAAGGTTTAAGTGGAGGTTGGCAGACAAGAGGATCTGACATGCCTCTACCTGTTGTGGAATCTAATTATGCTATTGCTCATAAACGCAAGATAGCATGTCAGTCCTTAGAAGGTTCTCTTCCTTCTAAGGAACCAACCAGAAGGAATTTGGCAAATGGACCCATTTACACACCTCTTCTAGTGCAGGTAAATTATCTTCCTACAATTGGATTGTTACCAGCCCCATTCGTGTCAAAGTTTATAATCTCATTCTTTTCTGAAATTTAATTTCTTATAGTTTCCAAATGGGATACCTCAATCTCAGCTTCAACCAATGACTTTTACTGGAGAAACAGCTCCAAGTGCTCCCAGAAATTTTCAGTCGGATGGATTGGTTGCAAAAGGGGATTTTAAGCATGGATCACCTGATGCCACTCAGGTTTCAGCACTTTTTTTTATTGCAATTGTTGCTTTCCTTTTTTTTTTGAACTGTTTGTTCAGGAAAAATTATATTCGTATTGATTGTGCTGTTTTATTACATAATCTTTTAATCTTATTTTGACTGGGTAAAAAAACCTGACTTAGAAAACATCATCTCTAGGTGGCATAAAGGATGCTTTAAGTTCATGTTAAAATATAGATAACACCATTTCACCTTCACTCAGTATTTGTCTTGGGACAGGATTGGGAGAATGGAAGTATGCAGCCTGGGAGTATGATGTATGAAGAAGCACAATTGAGAGAACGCCCTGTGTCTCCCTCCAAAATTCCTTCTGAGATAGATCCGTTGGTAAGTATGGCCACATGCTCAGTTTAGAGCCTCTCTTGCAAAACCACCTCCTTTAATATCCTTATTTGGCCACTTTTATGCTTCTTTTGGACATTATTCTAAAATTCATTGTCAAAAACTTGAGTAGGAGTTGCAGTTCTCCCCTTCATAAGAATAATCAATGGTGGAACCAAGGGCTATTTTAATTTGGTGAAGATAATATGGAAAGACAGAGTTGAGCATCTCTTTGATACGCTAAAGCCATTGCTGACTATATAGGTTCTGGTGAACACTGGTAAAACACTGAAGTGATTTTGAGCTGGTATTGTTGAGATTGCCTTTCAAAACTACCTTTTGGTTCCATTTTTTCAGTCAGTGTTCCATGTTGAGAATGAAGTGTATGGGGGAATAGCCGAAGGACTTACGAAATACTTCTGTGGAGTCTGCCCATACAAGAGCGGGAGAAAGACGGATGCAAGGCGTCATTTTCAGTCACATATCAAAGGAAGCCTTCAAAAATGTAACACTTGTGGCCACAAGTTCAGATCCAGAGAGTTGTTGGATCACCATATGAAAACATGTCAGGAAGTGATGTAATGCAGAAATTTGTACACCATGTGATTTCTTATCAGGGATACTCTTTTATCATTGAAAGGTTATGTGACAGTGGTTCTTGTTCAGAGAGCTGGAAGTCTCTTATGACTTTTATCGTTTCACATTATTGTTTTTTTATTGTTCATTGCCCATTTTGTTATTTTTGCCAGTTTTGTTCTTAAGGAAACATTCCTCTCTTTTCCTTGAATTTTGCTATCAGGGGAACATCTCTGAAAGAATTATGCCATTTCAGTTAACCTCTTCTGGTAATTAGCTATCACTAAAGTCACAATTACATTAACATGGTAAAAATCATTGTCTGTGATGAGGTAAGTAGGTAAGTATTAACATGGTAAAAGGTAAGTATTAACATGCTCAATTGTGTCATTGTTCATCAGTGGTTCCACCATCTATGTCACCTGAGAGACAAAAAACAATGATCTGTTATTTGCTTCATATGCATTAGAATTTCAACTTATCAATATGGGAGCCAGCACTGCTTTGAAAAAGAATTGGTATGCAATGATTCATCAGCTGGCAATATGTTGTATATTTTCAACAGAGATAATGGTCAAGAAAAACTTGTTTCAATGTGAGATTGCTGACAAAAGCCTCATTGTGCTCTTCATGTTCTTATAAAATTCTTGAGTATCTATCTAATCTATGGATATTTGAAATCAAAGTGACAGTAGGCTGCTGTATATTCAAGTAATCATATTTTAATCAGCCCATATTTGATAAAAAATGTAAGAGGAATGACACCATTGAGTTGATGCAGTCTTGTCCATTTCCATCTCATATATCTGTCATTTTTATTTATTGGCAGAATGAGAGTGCCACAGCTCATTTTGTAACCTATACATAATCCATTGAAGCTATTACCCTCTTATCAATCTTTTTAACTATTCGTATTATAAACTGATCAAATTGGTGGATTGATCACATTTTTATTGAAGGTCATTTCTCTTTTATTTACTAGGAGATTGTGATTTTCATTACCTATGAAATTATGATTCTAGCTTTTGTATTTTTTTAAGGCTAAATTTGCATACTAATGCCTGTTTACTGATATATGTCCATGGGGTAGCCCATAAATCACAGTCTCCAAAACTGTAATTTTTTACTTCCTCTTCCTCTGTGGTGGCCTTCATTAGACCTTCCCCCAACCCCGACCACATGGTTCATCTGCCCCTTCTGAGATGCTTTTTTCAGTGAATAGCCTAAAGGAATGTGGTATTCATTTTTTCTGGATAAGCTGACCCAAATGCAAAAAACTTCTAAAAGATGACAAGAAAAGGGGGCAAGAACATGACTTACCTTCCCAGCACTGGGCAAACAGCTGATCTGAAATCACTTTCTTACAAATTATAAACTTCTTGTTGGAATGTGATTTCATTATTTGCTATTTTCTGCCTTGTGCAAATTTTTCCAAGGTAGAGTGTTGCAAGTTTTGAAAAAGAATTTTGGAACTCCATCAAACCTTGCTTTCCCATTTGTTGGATTGGGGGGGAGTGATATTTTTCCCTCACCTCTTCTCAGTCCCTCCAAATGAAGATGTGGTTTATGGATGGTCCCCTTGAATGAGACTCTTCAGTATTGCAGAGAGCTTCCTGTAGAAGCTCTTGATATTAATGAATCTCCTCATTCTGTAGCAGTTTGTTGGTATGCATGGTCTGTTTATTTTATTATGTTGTTGCCTGTTATTGTTAAAATGAACGTACTTGTACATATTGACATTGATCTTTTCTTACAGCTGCAATTGAAGTATTGATGCAGAAATATATTTTTTATAAGCTGAAATTTGTCTTGCATATCTTCTATAACACAAAGAGAGATGAAGCTCATGAAACTTTGCTTTCATGAGGAGCATTAGAAAAGCTCTCTACCAAGCAGGTTCATTCTCACTTGTTGTTTTTCAATTTCCATTAGATATGATTCATGTATTTGCCTTGACTTTCTCAGGAGCAGAGTGTTCTGATTACAAATTCATCTCCACCATGTCAAATAAATATAACCTCAAATGGAATTCTCACCATTTGGAAACCTTTCAAGCCTTTGACAGGCTGAGGACCAGGGAGATGTTTGTGGATGTGACACTATCTTGTGAGGGCCAGTTCCTCAAAGCCCACAAATTGGTGCTTTCAGCCAGCAGTCAATATCTGGAGCGAATCCTGCAGCGGGATGGATCCACGAATCCCTCCATCCACTTTTTTGGAATTGAGAATTATATCCTCAGACTTCTTGTTGAGTTCATGTACAATGGGGAAGTGGAAGTGCCCTCAGCAGACCTGGAGAGATTTATACAGCTGGCAGAAAAGTTGGAAGTGAAAGGACTAAAAGGTGATGGAAGAGCTAAAGGACCTCATTTGAATTTCCCTGTTGAGGATGTGGAGACTACCGTACCTTACAAGAGAAGAAGTCAACCATTATCTGCTCAAGACTTTCCATATCCCATGAAACAGCGAAGGTTAGGTGCCATGACTGCTCCCCCAACAAATCCTATTTCAGCCCAGGTAGATCATCATTCCTCTAACATTTAATAATTCTACATTAATAATTTTTTATTTCTAGTCAGATGCAACATTCAGAATCATGGCAATTGATGTCAGGTATCCACTCTCTGTTGGTCATCAATTTCAGGATTGCCATATGTCACTGAGTTCATTTTATCCTATAAAAAATCGTTTGTTTTTACTGTTAAAGTTAATCAACAACTTGGTTTCTATAAATGATTGTTAATAACCTGAGAAGTTATTGTGGTAAGGAATCACCTTTGAGTATTTGAAATGGGTTAAAACTCATCATATATTATTTTTATGAGACAAACCAAGGCTGTGATAAGAAAATGTGATGCTCCTGTTGGATGCAGTGCAGTTTGGAGTACATTTTGGAGTATTATCAAATGATTTCAGATTAACCCATCTTTACCTAGTAGTCATTCCTCTGATATGTTATATTTTTCAAAAGAAATTTTTCTTGATAAGATCAATCTGAGTTTGTCCCATGTATTGCTGTTTTTTTGTAACTGTACTTACTTTTCTCTGTAGAGATGACAGAGCAGTTGCCAGAAACTGAAATCTGAAATGTGTAGGACTTGCTTTTAGGAACCTCTTACTGCATTCAGTTATATCTATGGTGCACTCTGAATGTATGTTTAATAGCACTTTGCTATTGAAACACATTGTCAGACATCATGTTGTACCATATCTACTACACTGCCTTGGTAGATTGACTTGATGAGAATTGAGTAGAGCCAGCTGATCTCTACTCCATGCTGTTAATTGCTAATAGCATTGGTGTATGTTTTCAATGTGGTTTTCTAGCTACTTGTGGTACAAAGAATAATTATAGTAAAATATGTATATGCTAGCCATCTGGCAAGCAGTTATTAGGATGGACTTTTTTTTGGGATCACTTTTCATGAAATACTCTTGGAATGGAAACTTTCTGCTCTCAGTCTCCTGGGAAGGCTTCTTCAGCCCTGCCACAAGCTCCAGTTGCAGAGGAACCTGGTCCAAGCAGCTCCAATAGTGAGGAAGCACTGGTCAAGTTGGAGTATGAGGATGGTTCTGTTGAATCTTCATTGCAGGAGGTTGACTATGGGGTAATTGCTTTATTGAATGAAACATCATATGAAACATCAAATATCACCAGTTTGATCAGATTTAATTTCTTTCTTTTTTAGGAAGAACATTGGGCAGAAGAAAGTATGCACAGTGGTGGTTCAGGTTTTATAGAAACAGCAGGAAGTTCTTCAGGTGCTCCATCTCATATCCCTTCCGAAATAGATCCCTCGGTTAGTGAATATTGTATTCCTCAACACAGTAACTCATCATTGAAACTTCCTGCTCTGCACATCTGCAGTATTTATTCCCTTGTTTCCTCTCTCCCTGAGAACTGTATCCATGCCTTCAAATTTGGTTTTGCTTTTGCTGTATCAGGCTTATGGGTCCTTGTGAACTGCATAGTGAACCTAAATCCAGTGCATCTGTGGGGAAAATGAGGACTTTCTTTCAATAAAGAAAAGTACAAAAGGCTCATGCCCATGGTATTTTGGAGATACCGACAGATTATTTGAGCAGTGTACTCAACTCATTTGCTATCCAATTTCTGCAACCTTTTTATATTGCATGGGAATGCTTCAAGCAAAATTCTTCTTTGGGTTGATGGACACTTCAAGGCAAGAGGTTATTTCTTATGACTCCTCCTTCCATAAAAAGGAAGAAGATCCTCTGAAAAAGCCCCCTTTGCCCTGTTAAGTCTATTTGAAATGTCCTTGTTTTCCTGGCTGATGGGCTCACGTTTTAGTACTTCCCATTGATAAAACACTAAGTAACATTGGTTTGCTTTCTGTCCCATTATGTGGATCCCTGCTGCTTGAGAACAACTCTACATGCTAAGGGCCATTGGAAAATCAGCACAGTGTAAAAAATCCAACCCTGTTACATTTTGCTGGGAAAGATTGAATGAGGGAATTTTATACTTAATGCATTTCAAAGTTGTTTAATTCAGGAATTTGGAAATTTTCCTCCTTTTTGTTGATCTTTAAAAAAATCCTCATGAGTGACCAGCAGCAGACTTGATGGGCTCTGGTCTTTGGTTCTGCAGACGGTGACCTGGGTCAAAGATGGCTTTTACAAAGGAGCTGGCCCTGATGGAATTGCTCGTTTTTTCTGCGGAATTTGTCCCTACCAAACAGCACTGAAACCTCATGCTGCACGTCACTATCTAACTCATACAGGAGAAAAGCCTCACGTTTGTCCAGTTTGTGGAAAGGGATTCAAGGAAAAGAGAGACATGAAAGCCCATTCAATGAGGGTTCATTCATGTAACCTATTCCAAGCTTGAATTCCTCTTTCCTGTTGTTGCTGAATTTGATTGCATGCTGATAGTTCAAAACCATTTATTTGGCCCCTTTTAGTTCTTTTTACTGCTATTTCTTCTCTCCTTTTTTGCTGGCACTTCATCTTGGTCTTCTGTGTGCACTTCTGGTGTTTGCTACTGGTGTTAATGATAAGCATATAATTTTCTCCTTTGTATTTTCTTAGTTCTATCTTGTTCAATTCATAATTGGAGATCTCTTTTCTAGTCAAGTCATACTGGCCTGCAAATTTAGAGGTCTGGGTTAAATTTCTGGCAGGGACTGAAGGAATTTAACTGGCATAGTTTGTCTGAGAGTCAGGATTTTAGTTGGGTCTAACTCATGCAATCCTTGACTCCCTTATGATTCCCCTATAATATTTGAGTCCTAGAACACTATATGGACCTTATGTCTTAGATGTCCACTTTTACATCTAATAGTGGATACTGAAAAGAATCATTATCTGTACATCATGCAGATTTGTGACATAGGGAAAATTGTAACTGCCTGCAGCATAAATTCACTAAAAACTGATTTTGAGTATATTTTTTCTGAAAGTTTTAGTGTGCCTTCAGTGCTCACAGGAAATTAGTGTATGCATAAATTTAAATCCAAATGTCATGCATGGCCACTGTGACTTATCTTCAGCTAAATCTGATAGCCCACAATCTTACATTTGGGGAGGGCATCTGTACAATTGGGTGAGGTAATCAGTATATTCATGATCTCAGTAACCCATTCCAGATAAAACATATTGGGAACAATGGACTGTATCAAAGAGTTTGCTGAGGTCATTCTTCAAAGCTGCATCTATTGCTGATAATAGGATTGAATTGTGTCTGTGCCTTTCCAGAGCATATTTCATGTGGAATATGAAGTGTATGGTGGAGCATCTGGAGGGCTTATTCTATACTTCTGTGGTCTCTGCGGTTATAAAAGTGCCAGAAAGCATGATGCTCGCAGGCATTTCTTGTCGCATACCCATGGGAAACGCCACAAGCCTCTGAAGTGTCTTGGAAAGTCTACAGATCTGGGATCACCCTCAACCCCCATATGAGAAGGGGTGTCCATGGGATATTCAAGATGAACATTTTCCCCTACTTCTACTGAAGATTGTTTTTAATATATACCCACTCACCTGCCACACTTCTCTCCTTCCAAATTGCAACTTCGTGACATTCCTGTTTGAATTTGGCACATGTGTGATAAAATCTAATTATTTGAAATGAGATGTTATTCTTGAATTCTTATGTTTTTCCAGCTCCTCTTGCTGTACAGACAGATGTTTCTGTTTCTGTTGACACTGGTATGACACAATCTTATAATGTACTTCCCATCATAGGATTCTTATTAATGCTTGGGATACCTGCTTCCCGCTGATACTGGTTCATACTAGTGGGAATTTAGCATTGGTCCATTGGTCATGATTTGTCTCTTGTCCTGTCTCTGAAGGGAATCAGGTGGAATAATTTTTTTTCCCTACCAATGATCCATTTCTTCAGTAAAGTTGCATTTGCATCATAGTACTGTAAATAAGCAGTTGTTGATGCTCTTTTGCTACAGAAAGCAAGCATTTGACATACAATGTACCATATCCTTATAATTACTTCCTGGATAGTGCAATTCCTGGCCATATATGCTCATTTAAACTAACTTCTCAATGAAAAACAGCACTTCCCATGGTTCCTGGCAGAGTTTTAATTCTTTTCGTTTTCTTTCATTGGTTGAAATTTTAGGCATGATGCAGGTAAATTGCTGGCAGTTGGAAAGCTTCACTGTGGTATGACAACTTATGCAAAAGTTTTGGCTGGAATATAGAGGAATGGTGGATGAGGGAGTGATGCTGCTGCTTCTCCTGCTCTTAGATTTTATTCTGAAAGGTTCATTTCTCATGTATCAATCAATGCAAGATTTTAACAAATTCTCTTATTTGCAAATTGAATCAACTTGATGCATACACCGCCTTTCCATATAGGCTCCCCTTTATGGTACGTATAAACTGTCTCCATCTTCGTGAGAATGCTCAAGAGTTATACTGCATTTAAGTTCTGCCTGCCTTCTTTGGGACTTGTCATGGAAAAAAATGTTATTCATGGAAAAACTGGATTCTTGCTAGATGTCATCAATAATGGCATGCTGCTTTTTGAAAATTCAAGTTTGACCTTTGTGGGAAATGCTTTTAGAACTAATATCCCTCAAATAAGTCATACCCACATTTACTGAATGTTGCATGACAACTTGATTCAGAAATGAATCAAAACATTCCTGAGGCTGCGGTTCGCTTTCAATACAGCTTTCTCTTGGTTCTTAGTGAAATTCTTCTACTGTCATGCTATGGATGGAGGCTCATGGAATTCTTCCACGAGGAGCAGCAGACTTGCTCTTAGCCTTCTGAAGCATGTTATTCTCTATTTCTGGGATCTTTCAGTTGTTAGATATGGTCAGGACAAATTTCATTTTGGACTCTTCCACTGTTGATTGTTTTTCCTCGGTAATCAAGCCTTCTTTCTGTCTTTTGTCTTCCTATGTCTTCTTATCTCCATCCAGCTCCCACTGATTCTGCCTCTGAAGGAAAGAGACCTTTTCTTGCATGTTAATAGGGAGATCCCTGGTGTACTTGTGTGGCCTGTGTGATTTTTTGGGGGCCATGAAGTTCTAGAGGGGTGAAATTTGATTAATAATAGGGGTGGAATTGGATTGATGCGAAGGCAAGATTGATGATGGGGGGGGGGATGGGGATGCAAGACAAAGTGACACAATATGAGAGTTAATCAATATCACAGCTGAAGAAAACCAAGCCCTCCCCCCTTGGCTGCATCACTGATCTGAAGAATTTATACTGATTCTAATCAGCCAAAGGACACCAGGAAAACAGCATCTTCCATTCTAGCTCAGTCCTCTTTATGGTAGTTTATATGAATAGTATAACAAAGATTCTATAATGGTATAATGGATTGTGTAATTCCTCTTCAAGGTAAAGGTTTCATTGATCTCTGCAAGAAACTAGAGGGAATGGACCATGCCATATCAATTGTGGCAAAAATTAACTGCATTAATGAAAACTAGCAGAATTCTAGACATTCTGTTGATTTTGATATTAGATACTCAAAAACCGATTCAGAGTGAGACCAGATGCCAAAGGCTATTATATCTACACCTTAATCTTATTTTTGATGAAGACTTGAAAGAAAAATTATGGGAAAGGATTGTACATAATTGAATGCAGCCTTCTTGTGATCAGAATTCAAATATCTTACTCTAAATGTATCCTGATTGGCACAGAACTTGTTTTTTTTTTTAACCAAAAGTTGAGAAATATGGGCTAAATTTTAAATCCCAATAAAGAAATAGTTTTGCAAGTGACTTTGAATAAGGAAATCCTTTCCTGAGTTAACAGAGTAGCTTTGGCCTAACTCTGACCATAATCCAGGTTTCAGTGTGCCATAGCCAGCAAACAACAGATATTTGCTAATTGTTCTTTGCTGGCTATGGCTCACTATTCGCAAGTGATTTCAATTTGAAATCTAATCCATCTTGGGAAATTGTTGCTTTGGCATAACTAACCTGAAAAATAAGAAGTTAATCATGCAGATAGGAATTGACAGCAGAGAAGAAAAAGTGAAGATGAGCGTGCTGTTGAGCGAAGTACCAAATTCATTCCAAGCCAATTTCACAAAAATTTTCAGCCAGGATTTATGATCACACAATGGGTAAGTAGAGAAGGATCTGGGCGAACTGCAGTGTTGAAGCTCTTTGTGATATGAAGTCTCAATAGGGTTGGCACATTCACATAAATTTTCCTAGACCTAATCTGGATGGCAAAAGATGACAACTCATCTCTTGCCATCCAGCTATCAAACCACCTAGACCCAAATGATAACAATAAACTAGCAAGCAGAAAATTTTGATATTGGTCAACTGGTGAATTGCTGCAACCATTTGTTTGCCAGCCAAAATGTTGCATTGATATCCTCTGGTTAGCACAGATAACACAGATGCTAAACCCAATAAAATTTAATGAGATAATTAGATTATCAGTGTCAATCAATTGGAATTAAGCATGGATCATGGAATGCTAATTATCACACAACAGGCAAGAAAATAGAAGAGAACACGAGTACAGTAGTTTAAGGTTCACTGCATCCTGCTTATCCCGAGTTTAACCAGAATTGTGATCATGAAAAATTGGTGCTAATGGTCCTCCAGTAATTAAATTTTTTCATTTGCTGGCTTAGTGAACATAATTTGCTGATTTTTTATTGCTAAAAGGGCTTTGTCACTATACTTCATATGGTATCTTTGAGTATGATTTGACCTTGCGAACTGATGAATCAACAGAATAAGTTTCATTATGTGTTTTTAATGAAAAATTTGTGCCACTTAGTCATCTAAACTCAACTGATGTTTTATCTGAAACCCAAATCATAACTGGAGTGCCTTTTCACAATAATTTTTTATAATCTCCAGTCTTGCCAATGGGATGAGACCCATGAGACTATTTTATTTGAGGTTTTTTCAAATGTTTTCATGTTGCTTATGTTGGTGATCATATAATCACCATGTAGAGAAATGAGGGAACAGATGACTAACAAGTGAGCAGGCATGCCATAGAGGATACCACAACTGGGATTACTGGGTGAGAACAGAGGTTAAAGATGACGTATAAATTACTCTATATTACCAATAAGCACTCACACCTGCTACCTATTTGGATTGCAGATGAATCATTTTGCACAAAGAAAGGGATTTGTCCTTTTGTGTTGACATGAAAAATGGCATGTATGGCATTATCAAAGTTAATAGGGCCTGATATTTTTGGCTCTGCATTTCATCTGAGTTTAAGATGACTTTTGCATGGGAGCTGCTTCTAATGGAGTCACTTACTTTTCCTGTGGCAATTACTATTATCATACTCCACGGAGGGCCCATGCAGGCCATCATTATCAAAAATAAACTGGAGAAGAGCCTTGTGTTTATCCAGTGTGGGGCTGGAGATTCAAGGAGATATACAAGAGGAAATTCAAAAGTCGGGTAAAGGAATTGATAGAATCTGTACCCACCGTACGTGGACACAGTTTACGATACTCAAATCAGAAAAGACCCAGACTCTTCCAATTTTATAAAGATCAAAGTAATATAGTAAGACCACGTTTATGTGTTTGTAATTTCCACCTCCATCATATACTTTCAGATTATTTGTGAGACTTTCCTATGCCAAAAGTGATTACTGTTACACTCCACATAGGAATGTATTCTTTATTGATACATGTTGGAATATAGTGCTAAGAGATCTGGATACAGGATTTGGTGGTTACATTTAAAAAAATCATCATTGTCTATGGCTGGAGATGAAGATGAATTAGGTGTAATACAAGATCCAAAAAATATATATATCCCTTTATTAGTTCAGTGCAGTAAGTAAAATAGGGTTAAATTTTGCCCAATTTGTTTTACTCTGAAAACTTACCTTTTGAACTGAGAATTGATCTGACAAAGTTACGACGAAGGAGTGACTACCAAATCACATTTGACTCAGGTAATAAACCGACGACTCAGTTACTACTTCGTAAGGTACTCCTCGAACGACACAGTCTCTGAATAAATTTCATGCTATTAATTGGATTGATGCTTAATACTATTGCAGCAAAAATGTTGGAGTTGTTAAATCAACTTGGTGCTCATCTTGCATTGAGGTTGCTTTTACCTAGCAAAAAAATAAGTGTCAAGTTTATCTGTATGTCTGTCTGGCTATCTTCGATAATAATTGGTCTCTGTCTTCTCAGGATCTTTTGTCTGAATATGACAGACATGCTAGCCATGTCAGGTAAGTATAATCTGAAGTGGAATTGCCATCACTCAGAATCCCTCCAAGCCTTTGATCAACTGCGGAGCAGAGAGGTGTTTGTGGATGTGACCCTGGCTTGTGAGGGCCAGTTCCTCAAGGCCCATAAGCTGGTGCTTTCTGCCGGCAGTCTATACCTGGAGCGAATCCTGCAGCAGGAAGGATCCACCAGTCCCTCCATTCACTTCTTTGGAGTTGAGATGTGTATTCTCAAACTTCTTGTCGAGTTTATATACAAGGGGGAAGTAGAAGTACCCTCAGCAGACTTGGAGAGATTCATTCAAATGGCAGAGGACTTGGAAGTGAAAGGATTAAAAGGAAATGAAAAAATGAAAGGATCTACTAAGTTGACTGTGCCTGTTGGTGAAACTGTGCCTATTGGCAATGCAGAGACTCTGATTGTTCATAAGAAAAGAACTCATGAACTGTTGGCTCAGGAATCCCCTCATTCAGTGAAACAGCAAGAGTTAAGTGCCATGACTGGATCCTCAACTACAACTCCCCCAAAAAAGGTAGAGGGTATTGTGAGCCATGTAATTTGGGGTTAATCTATCATAGACTTTCACTTGTAAAACTTTATAATTCTCTTCTCAGATTTCAAGAAAATCTGCTTCACCACTGAAGCAAGTCCCTGTCTCAGAGGAGCCTGGCCCAAGCACCTCCTACAATGTGGTAACACAGGTCAAGCAAGAGTTTGATGAAGTGGAAGGACTATCCAGGCAAGAGCATAGTGAAGGCTTTGCTGAAACTCTACTGCAGGAGGCTGATTCTGTGGTGAGTGAGAATTTCCAGTAGTGACTGCTGTCTCATGAAGGTGGTTTCAAATTGGTCATATTTGTTCTCAGAAAGGAGAGCATTGGGAAGAGAAGAGCAAACACACTGAGACTTCTATTTCTGCTGCACAAAGTTCATCAGGAGTTCCAGCAGTACCAGCCTGTATCCCCCCTGATATAGATCAATCGGTTGGTGGCACCTAGTTTTTCTTGAGCATGCATGAACTCCTTTACAGAATTCATTTACTTTTACTTCTGTGGATGTTCTCACACCCAAAATTAGCTTTCTCATTCACTTTTAGACACATCCCAGTGTGCAGTCTTGTCATTATTTTTTTGCCTTTCCTTATGTGCCAGATACCTGTCTAATTCTTATCAACCAGGGGATACCCATATAGGTCTGGTGCATTCACCAACCCTCAGCCTGTGAACTATGTGTGGCACTTGAATGGGAAATTTTTCTTTTTGCAGTCAACATTGTGTGAAAGAAGGAAATTGCAAAACTTCAGACCTCACCAAAGTCTAGAGTTTAGAGACAGTGAACATATTTGTATTGTTCACATGAAAGAGGTATTTGAAGTCAATATAGGTTTGCAAAGTATGTTTTGTTCATACACAAGTCAACATTTTCCTTACTCACATTCACATGGATGTTTTTATTGTGCTGCACTTTGCCTCACATGAGGGCCACACTATACCCTTGGAACTCACCAGTTTGGTAACATGATGTTGGTAGACAACTGGGACATAAGCATTTCATGTTTATGTCCCAGTTAATGTTGTCTGTTGCCATGAGCTTCTTGGGGTGGTGATTCTCATCACAAGATACCNAACCAGGTGAAAAAATCCTGAAATGAAGTAATGTCATGGATCTGCCTCCTTTTACTGGAATTACGATTGTCAGGAGTTATTCCACATGTTGCTTCAGTCATGGAATTTGAGCTGAAATAAATGGCAAAATTTGGCTAATTTTCACATAGTGAGCATACCATGAACTTCTGGTTCATCACTGTTTCTAGAAGGCTGAATGGTTGTCACTGATGCCTTATCAGTTATACAGTACACATATAGATGCTTCTTGAGCCACTGTTCTTGTATCAATCCAACTTTCATGATCATATAATATATGAAAATTAGTGCAAGGTTTGCATAAAATGTTTCTGTGAGATAGCTTTTGTTCAAGGAGTGCATGGCCTTAGTGCACCCATGGCTGGAATTTGTATTATGCAGAGATTCATGTTATGAGTCCATGTCCCTTTGTTTGAGTCATTAATGAATCATTTTGCTGTGTTGAAATGGAAAAAGGCGGTAGAAATGCTAATAAGCCTTGGTCTCGATGTGCAGACGGTGACCTGGGTGCAAGATGACATTTATATGGGAGCTGCTGCTGATGGAGTCAGTCACTTTTTCTGTGGTATTTGCTGTTATCAAACACTGTTGAGAGCCCATGCAAAGTATCACTATCAAACACACACAAAAGATAAGCTTCATATTTGCCCAGTTTGTGGCAAGGGATTCAGTGAGAAGTCAGATATGAGAAAACATAAAGTTAGGGTTCATTTCCAGAACTTGTTTCCAGCTTCAGTTCCTCACACTGGTACTGATTGAATCATTCATTCTTCTTTCCATCTCTTTTGGAATGTAAAGTTTTTCACTGACAGTACTGATTGTTATTATTATGGGAATACTTTCTTAATGGGAAATTGTTCAGAAATATATATGGGATTACATTCGATATGAGAAGTTTAGAAATACATATGGGAATACATTCCTGAGAAACCTGAATGCATTCTGTGGTTGTGACATATCTTTGTTATTGTCATCATCATCTGATAATTGCTTGGGTAGCAATCAATGGTCTCACAGTTAGAAACTCCACTTGTTCTTCAATGGGATTTGTGGCTATTTGTGATTGGAAGAGATGCGTGATACTGGCCTTCATCTATTGTGTGCTATTCAAGAAATTCAGCAGTGCTTTCTTGGGAATCCTTGCAGGATCAAGATCTCAAAAATGCTATCCTTCATTATTAAGGCCTCCATGATGGGTGTGATTCAGAACTGAATGAAAAAATTACCTAAGATTGGAACTCTGTTTCTATGTTTCTTGGTGATGTGTCAGGTAAGGCCATTTTATTGCCATTGAGCTATTGATAAAGGTTCATGGTAAAGGTTCATGGAAGTGTTCCATGAGGAACTCTTGACCTCCTGTCAGCTTTCCAAAGAACCAGATGATATTAAAGGGCTTATTCAGGTGGTAATCACAAATATGAAGTTAATACCTTAGAGTGCTTGATGCCTTACTTTACATTTGTGAAGAAGCCATCTGTCTGTAAGTATGACTAGCTCTTTTCAACCAGCTTCCCAATAATTGGCATTTACTTTTTCTAGATCAGAGTATGCAAATTTGAAATCCGTCCCAGCCATGTCAGGTAAGTACAACCTGAAGTGGAATTCTCATCATTCAGAAGCTTTTCAAGCATTTGACCAACTGCGAAGCAGAGAGTTGTTTGTTGATGTGACCTTGGCATGTGAGAGCCAGTGCCTGAAGGCCCACAAGCTGGTTCTATCTGCTGGTAGCCAATACCTAGAGCGAATCCTGCAGCGAGATAGCTCCACCAGTCCCTCCATTCACTTCTTTGGAATTGAGATGCATATCCTCAGACTTCTTGTTGAGTTCATGTACAAGGGAGAAGTGGAAGTACCCTCAGCAGACCTGGAGAGATTCATTCAAATGGCTGATAATTTGGAAGTGAAAGGACTCAAAGGTGATGGAAGACTAAAAGGATCTGGTTCTGTGAATATGCCAATCAATGATCTGGAGCCTCCCATTGCTCACAAGAGAAGAATATGCTCCCTGTCGGCTCCCAACTCCCCATATCCCCTAAAACAGCAACGGTTAAATGCAGTGAGTGCAACCTCAATAGCTGCAACATCAGCAGAGGTTGGAAGAACATTCTTTTATCATCTGTGTTTTTTTTTTAGACTGTTTCTTGTGCTCATGACAATACAGAATCATTCTCTTCTCAGTCTTCAGGGAAGGCTATATCATCACATCATCAAATCTCTGTCCCCAAGGAACTTGGCCCAAGCACATCCAATGATAAGGAAGCTCTACTGAAGCTGGTATATGCTGAAGGGGAAGCACTGGTCAAACAGGAGCATGAAGACTCTGTTGAAGCACAACTGCAGGAGGTTGACTGCAGACCATGCTATAGTGAGTGAGTTGTGGTTGCAATTAGTGGGTTTCATGCAGATTGATCTTTTCTCAGGAGGAAGATCATTGGGAAGAGGAGAGCATGCATGCTGAGACTTCAAATTTTGATGCTGGAAGTTCATCAGGACCTCCAACCTCTATCCCTAGTGAAATAGATCCATCGGTTTGTGAAATTCAACTCCTATTGAGCCTGCATGATTTTCTCTTATTTCTGCTTAATTTATTGTCTCCAGACATTTCCTTGCATTCCTTCATATTTAGTTTGCTTGCCAGTTTTTGGCCATATTTGGGCTCCTTAAGCCCACAGGGAAAACCATTTACTTTTCCATGATTGAACTAATTGATGATAATTTAAGTGTAACAAGATGCTATCATGTTCAACATTGCCTGCTGCCTGCTTTATAATTTTAGAAGAAGCTGATTCCAGTTCTATTAATTTTCACAAAACTTAAGGCTCAAGACTTCCATTGTATTTCTTACATACTGCTGCTAACTTGTGCTACATGTGCTACAATTGACATTTTTTAATATTTAATTTTGGTTGCCCTCTAAGATTTACTTTTGCTTTTATTGCCATGCAATTTTTTACCACTGCATGATTCTCATGAATTACTATAATAAAATAGATAGTTCAGAGGTCCAAGGAGATAGAAAATCAACAGCAGTTGTGAAGTACCTGGGAATCAGGAACATATAGACCTATGATTTTGGAATTCTGATGGAACATACATAAGTAGTGTTAATCTAAAAAAAAAGACACACTTTTCCAACAGCTAAGGTAATTGGGCTGTGGTATTTGGTTCTGCAGACGGTGACCTGGGTCCAAGATGACATTTACAAAGGAGCTTCCCCTGATGGAATCCTTCGATTTTTCTGTGGTATTTGTTCGTATCAAACGCCACTGAAAGCTCATGCAACCCGTCACTATCGGACGCATACGGGAGAGAAGCCTCATGTCTGCCCAGTGTGTGGCAAGGGATTCAGTGAGAACTCAGACATGAAGAAGCATAAAGTTAGGGTCCATTCCAATAAGTTTTTTCGAGCTTCAGGTCCTGTTGTATCCCATTGAGTTCTTTGTTTTTTCCGTGATATGCTGCCTGGTTGTGAAATTCTTCATGGGCCTTTATGGTCCTTGTTATTTATTTGATTGCATAAAGTAGCTTATATTCTTTGCTGGTTTTACGTCAGCTTCTGATGGTGGTTAGACGTCATTGGAAATGAATGTAATCTAGTTTTTGAGAGAAAGTATTTTTTGTTGCTCCACATATGTTGTGCAGTGGAGCTGTACCACCTGCTATAGTTATGTTATCTTACCAGTGATATTTATGTGCCTTTCCAGACCATATTCCACATGGAGTATGAAGTGTATGGCAGGGTGTGTGGAGGGCTTTCGCCATACTTCTGTGGCCTCTGCAAGTATAAAAGTACCAAGAAGCACAATACTTGAAGGCATTTCCAACTGCATACCCTCAGAAAGCTTAACATTTGTGAAATGTATCAGGAAGTCTTTATATCCTGGTACACCCTTAGCTCCCAGCAGAGGGTACAAAATGGGATACATCAACATGTACTGTAATTTGGGTCTGTGGTCATGACAGATGTGAGAAAAGCTCTCTTCCACCCCTTGCAATGTTTTTATTTATAGAATTTACTGCCTTATGTGACCAATATGCTTGAAGAGCCATGAGAATTCCCCTGTTCCCCCTCCCCCAGGTGCCATTAAGGATGTTAATTTATTAACATTCTTCATGGCAGGAGCTTCACAATGCAAGCCACTCCTCCAATGCCATAAATATCCAGTTTGAAACTGAATGGTTCTAGTTGGAATTCAGGAATTTGAGAAGCCAGTGTTTATGCAGGCCTTTACTATTAAGGATGGCAACTGCTTTGATGATAGGGTAAGAGTGGCCCAAAAAAAGGTAACTGAAATGTAGTATCATATTTATATTGTTTGTTTTTAATTCAGAAGAAAGATATACCAGTTAACACTGAAAGATAATTTGGCTTGTCTGACATTATTTTTAGCAGTTAAATAAGGTGGACTGATCATAACTGCTGTATTGGATGGATTCAATAAATAAAAAAAACTCAGGAAAGAAGACCTTGTGGTTACCTTTTTTTGGCCATCCTCTAGTATACGTTTTGAAGGAAATTCTTAGTGCTTCCACACATTCTCATCCCTTTGTGCCATGCTTCATGCTGAGGTTGATGTTTTACTTTGTTTTCAGACCTTTCTCTGTGAATTCCTCTACCCTGGTTTAAGGGAATTATTTTATTATCAAACCCCATTTAATGTTTTTGCAATCAGTCTCATGATTTTGTGCTTTTTGTCTAGTCTTGTGCCATTTTAAGGAAAAAGTTAGGGCTTATATTCAAGGTTTACATGCCCACCTATTTTTGTTGAAGGGTCTGTGCCATCAACTGCTAGAAGGTAAGTGGCCAATTTAGTGTAACCCTTGCAGGATTCTCCTGGGACCAAGGTTTCCTTGTGTCAGTCTTGGTTTGACATTACATATGGGTCTCATTAAAAGTTTAGCCAAGGCTGGGATTTTCATTTGAAATAGCCCCTCTAGTTGCTTGTGGTCTCTTTGGTGAAATTAGTTTCACATTATTCTGCCATTGCTGAAGGCTCATGGAGCTATTCCATGAGGAGCACTTCATGTGTTCTGAACCTTTCCAAAGCTAATTCTCATGCCATTATTTGGATCGATATGGTGTTGAAAAGCTGTATTAGTCTGAAAGGGATATTGTAACATTGATTTTGTAAAAAATCTGTTTTCCCCTGTTTTACAAAGTCTTCCTTTGTCTATTTGGCTCTAAGTCAAGTTATTCCTAATGCATCACTGTTGGTTGTTTGTTTACCTCTAGTTTTTGCTATATTTCTTTTCTCTTCTTTCTTATATTCCAGATACTGGTATATCTTTGTGGCGAAGCTTTCACAATGACAAAGTTCAACTTAAAGTGGAATTCTCACCATTCAGAAGCATTCCAATCCTTTGACCGGCTGAGGAACAGGGAGATATTTGTGGATGTGACCCTTTCATGTGAGGACCAGTTCCTCAAGGCTCATAAGTTGGTGCTTTCGGCAGGTAGTCAATACCTGGAGCGAATCTTGCAGCGGGATGGGACCGGGTGCCCCACCATCCATTTCTATGGAGTTGAGATGTACATTCTGAAGTTGCTAGTGGAATTCATGTACAATGGGGAAGTGGAAGTTCCCTCAGCAGACTTGGAGAAATTCATACGAGTGGCAGAGAATCTGGAGGTGATAGGACTGAAAGGTGATGGAAAGATGCAGGGACCTGCTACAACTATACCTGCAGATGCTATCGAAGCTGCCGTTGCACACAAGCGGAGGATCATACGGGAGTCATATGAAGATCACATCTACCCAAGAAAGCTGTTGAGGAGGAATATTGATCCACCTTCTAAACAAAACCAAAGAGATACCCAGGTAAACCCTGAACTCATGGGAATATTTCTTTTTTTAAATTCTGTTTCATATTAAAAGGCATATGGATCACTTGAAATTTAGCATTTTTGGTATTGGTCCTGTATAACAAATTATTTTATCTGTCTCAGTCTCCTGTTGGAACTTCATCACAATCTGAAATTCTGTCTGAGGCAGAAGAGTCAATTTCCAACATGGGTTTAGATAAACCAGGGGAAATGTTGGTGAAAGAGGTGTATGAGGAAGAATCTGCTGGCAAACCTCCATCTGAGGTATGAGGCTACCTTTTTTCTGACCTCCTATTGAGAGTAATTCTGCTATTAGTGGCAAATAAATCTGTTAACTTTGTTCTAAAGGATAAAGCCTGGTAGAAAATGATGAGAACAAAAGTTTTTCTGTTGAAGTCTAGTTTCCAAGATTACAGAGAAAGAAACCATATGCTGGTCAAATTTGACTTTCTCAGATCATGAAGAGACACTTTCAATCAAGGTGCTTGCTTTTTATCTCCACAATTTTTTTGTATGCAAACTTCTGCAGGTTTCTGCATTAACCATTTGGTATTGGTTTTTTGCTTGCACAATCTTATCCATCAATATTTGTATCATTCTTGGGCTGCCCATCAGTGCTTTAGTAGTTTTTCTCTATGATGCCATTTTTGAGAAACTGTCAAGCCAAAGTGAAAATTTCACTTTCATTGTCAAGTTTAATACTGAAAATGTCCCCTAAATTTTGGATTGGTTCCACTTCTCTCCAGACGGATGAATCATGGGAGGAGGAGAGTATGTCAACTGGGAGCATTTCCTATGCCTACAAAGAAATTCGAAGTACAAGAAGCTCTGAAACAAAAGACCCAGGGAACTCTTCAGGAGTTCCTCAAGTCATACCTCCTGAGGTAGACCCTTTGGTGAGTCATTCAAAAACATCTTTTTCCTAGATGTCAAACTATCATCCTCATTTTGATTGGGCATTCCAAAACTCCTTCACATTCATATCCCTATTGGTATGCATTAAAATGCAATTACTCTGGTTGATTGTACTCTGACATTATCTGATTCCAGACCTAGGGGTACTTTGAATGTATGCATATCTAATATCTATGTATACAAAGGACATGTCCATCCTTGCTCTTTCTTGTGCAAAAGTAATTCAAGTTCTGTTGAATTTGAATTCCTTCTATTTAATCTGAACCTATTCTCAAATTAGGTGGTGTGATTTTTGAAAATTTATGGTGATCAAAAGTTACCATGAATGTACAGCTCAATTCTCAGTTTGTATTTCCCTAAAGTCAAGTTTTTGATGGCATGGTATATCACTGCAATATCTATGTCTTCTTTCCACTGGACTATCCCATAGTAAGGGATTCTTGTTGGGTATGTGATCCTTGTCAGCCTGCTACAGGATATTCACATAAGTTTTAATTATCATAAGTGATACATATTAGTAAAAAAACTGAGTCCTTGGATTTCGTACTCAATAAGCCAGGTGCAGAGTAGGAATTTCAAGGGACTGGTTCATTCCTGTGTAATCTCTTTTGCTCATTATTTGGTATTTGTACTTGAAAAACATTTGCCACGTACAGGGTGTCCCATAAGTCATAATACCATTTCAGAAAATCACATCTATTAAGCAGTTGACATAAAAAAAGAAGTAACAACAACTGAATGATGTCATTTGGGATTAACTTCCATCAAAAATGGAGGTATTTCTGAGTTCTGATAGTGCCACAAAATGCCCTTTGCCTCTATCAATACATTTGGCATGAGGCTTGGTACCAAGAAACTGCCAAAACTCCCTTTGAACTCTGATGGGACTCTTAAAGACTTCCTTCCATCCAGGTAGCAACTTTTCTTTGCTGCTCCAATGAAAATTGGGAAACCTTTTCTCATGACATCAAAAGCAAATTAAACTAAGTAATTTTTTTGTTTCTCAAGTCTATCTGAAATGAGGAGAGGAAAACATTATGTGCATAGCAATTTTGTTGAAGATAATTAAATTAGGTGTACCATAAGTCACTCAGCAGGAGTACACCTTTCTTAAATGCATTAGAAGCAATTTTCATTTGTGTCTGATTCCAAGTCATTATCATGAAAAAAGTTCTAAAGAATGTTCTTGCCATGAAGCTTCATTTAAAAGAGGACTATATGATTCCCTGCAATTCAGGCTCACAACATCACTCTCAATCAGAACTATGGCAGCTGTGTTGGTTTGACAGTGCCCTTTTTTTAATCTGTTCTTTTTGTTTGGTTTTTAAAAAAAAAGTTGAAGTACCATGAAAGAGGATGAATCTGGTTTTTGCATTAAGGATATCTGGATACTGCTAATGGTAGGTCAAGATTTAAGGTATCAAAGTTGCCTTGGAAGATAGCATTTTTTCACATCTTTCTTGCTCCATCTACTCATACCTGGCTAAAAGAAAAATTTTAATATTTTACTGGATTTCTTCCAGAGTGGCAATTGTCACTCTGGAAGAAATCCAGTGGGAAGCCACTTTCAAGTTTTTTTATTATTTTGCCCAGACCCTTGGTCTATGCCCATGTTCTTCCAATAGGAAATATATTAGCTAAGAAAAATGAACATTTTGTGACATGTTTTCAGCAGTAAACTTGTATGAGGTAATGAAATGTAGGACTTGCATGATTGCAACCACATTGTGAGGAGAGAAAATATAGGACAAGAATCACATGAGAAGGATATTTTTGAAGTGTTAAGGTTTTCCACTGTGATTGTATTTGGATGGATTTATGTCAAAATTGTTTTTGCTATCCATAGGGATCTCTCATGGAATCCTTGCTTGTCTCAGTCCAATTGGGATTTAAGGGGGCCTAATGTAATGTGCAGTTTGTACCCCTGCTCATATCAGCCTGTCTTCCCATGTCACTTTCGTTATCCACTATCCATTCCCTTGGTTTCCTTGATTGTATTTTCCTTTCCAGACAGTATATCAAGTGGAACAGGAAGTTTATCGTGGATCGTACGAAGGTGGGACCGTATTTTTCTGTGGCGTTTGCCCGTACAAAAGTCCACGGAAGCACGATGCCAAGCGACATTCCTTCACTCACATCCAGGGGCGACTTTTCCCATGCAAACTTTGTAACAAGAGCTTCCGGTCCAGAGAAGGCATGAACTACCATCTCAACTTTTTCCACGAAGCAAAGTAGTGTTTTGATGTGAGTATGACCAACAGACTGCTTGATTATTCAGATTGACTTTCCATGTGAAGTACTAGAATGCCCATGAATTGCTAGTGAAATTCTTGATGGTGGTCCTGTTGGTGTTTGCAAATGCATCTTTATGACGGTATTAACTTTCTTTGGCTACCTGATGTGTGTGACTTACTGTTTCTGTTTTTAGTTTTTTTTTTAATGCTATCACAAGGGTAGAATGTGAAATTTGAGCCTGGATCTGGATCAGTGTTGTATTCCATCTTCATTTCTTTTCGAATTGTATTTAAGTGACATATTGTGGCTTCTGTGATGGAAAGTCCATACTTTTCTGTGGGCTATAGCCTACAAAAGTGTATAAAAGTGCAAGCAAGGGCTCTGTCAAAGTCCACCACCATACTCACATCTCTGTCTGATTTTTTTTTCAATGTAGAATCTATATAAAGAATTACAGATCCACTGGACATCTGGGTTACCATGTTAAAAAATACAATGCTCCATCTCAAGAGTCATAGCTTTCCATTGTAGTCAAGTGCTGCAAGGTCTCCACCAAGGCCAAACATTTGATCTCTAACTTGATGTGAATCAACTACGGTGATATTGATGTCCAAAATTTTTTTATGTGCAACTCTTGTGCATACTTTCAAGAATCCTTTATGACATAGTATTACAAAGAGGAGTGCATGGCAAATATTTTACTCCCAATATAGTTCTTATTTCAAAAGTTTCCTCTCTTGATTGCATTTAATGAAATTGTTGATACAGTTGTGTGACCAAGGTGGCATTGCTGGATTTATAAGCATCTGCTGTAAAGCAATCATTTATTTAAGGTCACTGGCATGAAGACTTCAAAATATCCTGCTTCTTGATGTATTTCTGCAGTCATTACGAGTATTCATCAAATAAAAATTTTGGGTTGTCATGATGTTGGTGAGCAGTCACTCGTGCCTGTTTGTTGTGATGCACCTGACCAGATTTGCTTAAAATCTCCAAGAAATGCATGATAAGAGATGCCTATTGAAAGATTTTGTCTCTTGTGTCGCTTTTGTGTTACAGTGTGATGAAAGACAATCCAACATGCACCTGATAATCCACATATGCAACTTACATTTGACTTACATGTGCTTAATGTCCATGTTTTTTTTTTTATCAAGTGAAAGAAAGTATCATATATATACAAACGAGGGATGTTGCCCCATAAGCTTGGCTTTGTGTGATAGGTCCTCGGTCAGATCTTCATCAAATCCGTGTTGACGATGTAGCAGATGTAGCACAACACCATGAAGCTGTTCGCTCCTGATGGGGAGTGTGAACAGACCAATATGGTTATTAGCCCGATATTGAAAAAATTACAGAACTGAATTTTTCACGTAGGTCTTATGCCAATCATCTGCATGAATTTAATTTAAATCGCCCCACTTTCCGATGTAATCCCGTAATTTTTTTTTTTTTACCATGAATGGAAAGCATTGTTAGCTCTAAATCTTACATTTGTCTTCATGCCCTTGTCGCAGCACGCCGTTCTGTCAATGTTTTTATATATACAGGGTCGTGCAAAAGTTC